TGACCTCATTTGTATCCTGCTCCTTTAAAGTCCAGCCCCGGGGCTCCGACCCCAGAATGAACCCCTCCAAGGAAACCCCAAACTAGTCAGCGGCCCGTTGGAAGACAGGACCCACAACCCGAGAGGGCGAGCCGAGAACAAAGGGGGCATCACCCGGAGGAGAAGAAAAACACACTTGGGTTTAGGACAGACACAGGTTCTTTTCCCCAAAGAAGCACTCAGAAGTCATCTCTTTGCCTTTCGGCAGGTCAGGCCACTGCATCTGGAGGTACAGCCGTACCCAGGTGCCTGGGCATTCGTGGGTGAGTCAAATCCTCATGGTGTCAGCCGGGCCTGAGAGGTTTCTGCTCCCCTTCCCCGGCGCCTGGCTCTCAGCCTCAGGCTCTGTGGCTCCACCTAGGGGCCGAGCGGCTTCCTGCAGGTGCTGTCCCCTTCACCACGGCCCCACCCCCTTTGGTTTCCACCTGCCCCCCCCCTCCACCCCCTCCACGTTGCTAAACATCAGAATGAACTTCCCCTTGTTCAAATTTATACCGGGAACCCCGTGATGACAACAAAAGCCAGGCAGAATCAGATCATTTGCTTTTCTCACATATGATAATAAAAAAAACGGGGTATAGTTCTGTTTCTCAAGGGCTCTGGACAAAAACAACGTTGGACCCCTGGCTGGCGTAGCTCAGTGGATGGAGCGCGGGCTGCGAACCGAAGTGTCGCAGGTTCGATTCCCAGTCAGGGTACATGCCTGGGTTGCAGGCCACGGCCCCCAGCAACCGCACATTAACGTTTCTCCCTCCCTCTCTTTCTCCCTCCCTTCCCTTTCTAAAAATAAATAAATAAAATCTTAAAAAAAAATGTTGGTTTCATGCACCAAGTCATCGCCCTTGTTTGCTAGAGATGCTTCAGATGGGCTCCAGGCAGACGCTTAAACTGCGACTGCGCCCGGCAGGAGTCCGGGAGTCCAGGCACAGCAGCAGCTGCCTGGAGACAGGGCTGCCTCCCGACCCAGCCCCTGCCTGGCCGCAGGTCCAGGTGAGACGCCAGAGTCCACCTCAGTGCTCAGGTCTCTCGGGAGACAGACCTGCTCTCCTTCCGCATCAGTCCAGTCACGCCGGTGGACCTGATGCCGGAGGCGACTGTCCTGAACAGGGTCATACCTGGTAACCGGGAGGAATCTGGAACAATAAGACGCTGTGAACCCCCTTCCAGGCGTTTCCGGGCTGTGTGGCCTTAGGGAAGTTCCTTGGCCTCTCTGTGCTATCCGGCTTTTCTCCTGCATTCCGAGAGTGTTGGCCAAGTCTCCTGTGGCCTGACCGAGGCCTTTCGACTTGTTTTATCAATCGCTCTGGTGGCATTGTCGAAATCCCCGTCTCTGATAGTGGGCCTGACTCTTTCTTCCAGCTCTCCGTTCTTGCTTTGTATATTTTGAAGCCTGTATTTTGATGACTAAGCACCTACGCAGTTAGGATGTTTATGGCTTCTTGAGGAAGTGACTCTTCTATCATTATGAAATGTCCGACTTTATGGTTGGTAACATTTCATGTTTGAAAGCTATCTGTCTGATATTAATGTGGCTATGCCAGCTTTTTTTGGATTAGTGTTAATACTGTACTTTTTTGTTAATCAGAGTTCTCTAGGGAGGCAGACCCAGTAGGATATAGGTCCATGGAGACACAGACACACACACGCGCGCACACACACACACGAGAGCCCAGGGTGAAGCTCGCCCACAGTGGGGAGGGCCGTCCCCTTTACCGAGAGTCCTGACTCAAACGGGGGACACACCCTCACAGGCACACGTGGGAGGAATGTTTGATCTGGGCACCCTTGGCCTGTCAAGTTGACACATGAAATTAGCCACCGCGATCTTCTCCCGTGTTTACACTTGAACCTCTCAGTCTCCATATTTAAAGAGTGCTCCTTCGCCTACCCGCACGGCGCTGGCTAAACGCGTCACATCGGGATGGAGGAAAGTTTCGAGAAAGCGGTTAAGGGGTTTCATTTTCCACATCGTGGGGTCATCTCTAGCCATGTTTGGCTCCTTCTCTCCCTTCTTCCAACGCTAATCGTTTGGTCTCCAAGGTGGGACTGCAGTCCTTCCGACCCCTAGTCTCACACTTTCTTCTCCAGCATCACCTTCGTCACTCCAGTGAGACCCCCATGGTCTCCCCACAGACTCTGCAGAGCTCCTCTGGCCAAATCCAAACGCCACAAGCACCAGAAACCAGGAGGGGCTGGGCGGAGCGGGGAAGCGGCCGCAGGGGGAGACCAAGGAGGCGGGTTTCCCGCAGAGCCGCGGAGAGCAGGGCTGTGCGTTTTCAGGCAGTCTGACAATCTCTGCCTCTCACTCGGAGGATTCAGACCATTTATACCTAATAAAATGATCAATATGCTCGAGTTTAAAAGATTTTACTTATTTACTTTGAGAGAGAGGGGAAGGGAGGGAGAGAGAGAGGAAGAGAAACATCAGTCGGTTGCCTCTCACAAATGCCCCAACCGAGGACCAGGCCTACAACCCAGGCAGGTGCCCTGCCGGGGATTCGAACTTTCACTTTGAGGTACGACGCCCAGCCCACTGACCCTGCCAGTCAGCGCCTGTCAAGGGAGAGTCTTGATTGCATGGCTCCATCCCCCTTACGGGACCCAGCGGCTCTCTGCACCTGGCCTGAACATGACAAAGTCATCCTAGCGAGACTGGGAAAATAAGGACTGGAGGAATCAAAGAAAAAACAAAGGTCGATCAAAAAGATGGGAGTGCTATCCTGCGTGTATATCGTCACCATTTTTAAAACTCCTCACCCAAGAATACTTTTTTTTTAGTTCATTTTAAAGACAGAGAGGCACTGATGTGAGAAGTAAACATCAATTGGTTGCCTCCCACACACACCCAGACCAGAGATCAAACTGCAGCCTAGGTATGCGCTCTGACCAGGAACCCAACCCAGAACTTTGTGGTGTATGGGATGACGCTCCAACCAACTGAGCCACCCGGCCAGGGCTATCATCACAATTCTCTCTCTCTTTTTTTAGATTTTATTTATTTTTAGAGAGAGGGGAAGGAAGGGGAAAGAGGGAGAGTTAACGTCCATCGGTTGCCTCTCGCATGCCCCCTACTGGGGACCTGGCCAACAACCCAGGCATGCGCCCTGACTGGGAATTGAACCAGCAACCTTTTGGTTCTCAGGCCAGCGCTCAGTCCACTGAGCCACTCCAATCAGGGCACCATCCTAACCATTTTTAAGCGCCCAGATCCGGGGCATTAGCATATTCCCATCACTGTCACCACCAGCCACCTCCAGCAAGTCCCTTATCTTCCAAAGCGGGAACTCTGTCCCCTCTGAACACTGACTCCGCCCCTCCAGCCCCCGCCCCCCGCGCCCACACGTGGGGGCTTTGCTGGAGTGCATTCACCTGGGCTCAGGTGTGTGGGATGAGGCTATTGACGCAGACCCAGAGAGTCAGAGAAAGGCCCTGGGGACGTGCATTCCCCGAGCTTCCCTCGCAGGGGTGAAGGGGGAAGTTGCCGTAAATGACGGCGGGGTGCAAACCTCTGTCTGCTCGGACATAGCCGGTAAGGAAGGATGCAGGGAACGGAAGGCATTGACCTGTTGCTGTTCCAGCAGGTCCGGGGTCCACCCCGGGGCAGGTGGACTCGCCAGGAGGCTGACGGGGCTCGGCTTGAGGCCGCCTGCGGAGCAGGAACGGAGGCGGCCGAAGGTCCCCGGGGTGGGGGGGGGGGGGGCGCGGCCGGGTTGCCACCCGGAAGCGTTTCTGGGTGCGCGGGTCGGGGACACGGCGCAGAGAGAACCGGGAAGGATGGCACGCGGGTCTGCGACACCCCCGGTGCGACGGGACTTGCACTTCTGTGCTGAAGGAGTGCTCACCTCCGTGCCGAGTCTATGTCCGTGATTTCATATTAGTTTTCTTGCAAAGGGCCTCAAGATGTCGTCCCCACAAAATCTGAACCTGTCTCTGATTTCTGCCTCCTGGGATCATTCCTTGTTTGTCCTGGGCTCCCGTGGGTTTAATTTTTTAAGCTAACTTTACATTTTACTATTATTATTATTATTTTTTTTAGAGAGAGGGGAAGGGAGGGAGAGAATCACCGATCGGTTCCCTCTCATATGCACCCCGACCAGGAACCGAACCCACAACCCAGGCATGTGCCCTGACCAGGAATCAAACCAGAGACTTTTTGCTTCTCAGGACACGCCCCACCAACTGAGCCCAGTCGGTCAGGGCTCTCTCAGGTTGAACACACTGAACACCGACCCAGGTGGCTCGGGGCGCCACCGTCCACAGCAGAGCCAGCACCACCAGGCACAGCCTGGACTCGAGGTCTCCCTCCGCTGCTGGCAGGCGGGGGAACGCCTACCTCTTCCACCAGCCGGATCCTGCGACCGGCCACGCGGAGCCGCTCTCTGCTGCCCCCCAGTGGGTCTCGGGTGACACGACACCACCGTACACACAGGGCGTTTCCTCTTTCTCACGCTCCCGAAACCTTCCAAGGCTTTATTATAGCTGTTTTATGCGCCTGGGGCTTTGCCAAGGCCTCTCAAAACCCAAAGCAAAACGAGTTGCTCCCTGGGAACCCTCCGTGGCTGGTTGCCTTCTCCCCCACATTGCATGCCAGGGCTGCTCTCTGCAGGGTGGCCACCCAGATGCACAGAGACACGCGCACCCGAGACAGGGCTGCACCTTAAGGGGCCTAGACGAGAAGTAAAGCCAAGGAAATAACACCACTGGGTGGATCAGTTCTCCGGACTGGCTAAAGCAACCCAGTGTGTTTTTTTAAAGGAAATCTGGCCTTGATGTTTGGAGTAGGAGGGTACGGCACAGGATGGGGAAGCCCCGCCCCCATCCCACCATGGGCTCCAGAGTGACCGCCCCGAAGCAGGGTGGGGAGGGCTCTGCAGAGCCCCGGGGTGTCCCAGACCCTCTCTCTCTTCACAGCGCTTTCTGGTCCACATGAACCGGCGGGAGACGCAGCCCAGCAGAGCAGAGCAGTTTGTAAATGTTTATTAGCCATCCCCTTGGCAACCCCCTCTTTATCCACGCCGGTGAAACCGAGATTGGACCTCTCCGAACCAGCGGCTGCCAGACAGAGGGGCGGGGCCTGGCTCTGGCCTGAGTCTCCCAAACAGTTCAGCGCTCGGACTGTCCTGGGTCACTGAGTCACTCCACCCACTGGTTTATGAGGGACAGGGGCCCTTTCTTCCCACCAAGTGTGGTAACCAGACGGAGAGCCAGTCAGGGGACCGTCCCGGAAAAGGGCGTCCCAGGACCTGGCCCTGGAGCACCGCGTCGGCCTCATCAACATCATGAAACACTCTCAGAGGAGGCAGCCTCTCTCTCTCCCACGCAGGAAAAGCCCGACCGGCCCTGAGCTCCCCCTGGGCGGCAGGCAGGGCTCTGGGAGTCCCAGGGGAGCTGCCCGGAGGAGGGAGTGCCAGCAGGTGCCCTGTGGGAGGAGGACGTTGGCGACCCGTTTCACAAGTCCAGTCCCAGGGCCAGCCCAGGCCTTCCAGGCAGCGCTGGCGCACCCCTGCCGGGAAGCTGGCCTCTCACCTGGAGCCCAGGACCTCTCCCTGGCTCTGGGCCGACCTCAGCTTCCTGCCAGAGCAGGCTGGCCACCCACTCAGGTGCCCCGGAGGTGGCCCGACCCTGTGAGTCACCGGCCTCTTTGCACACCTCCTGCCTGACACTTGCGCTGCCGCTTGGCTGAGGTCAGGTCGCTGGGAGTACACAGCGGGAGGGAGCCCAGACAGGGCTCAGCAGCAAGAATGGGCAGATGCGGCTGGAAGGAGGCCAGGGGCCTCTGGTTGGTCCCTTGTTAACGCAGTTTAAAACTGTATCGGAAGTGCCTAGAGGGAAAAGGAGCCGCCGCGGTGCATGCTGGATAGGCGCTCCCGGACCCCAGGAGGAAACGCCACGCCCACGTGGGGGTGGGGGCTCCCGGGCTCCCTGCCCCTCCTCCTCCCCTGCTCCTGGTGGGGAACCCCGGAGAGGAAGCTGAACGCCCCCCCCCCCCCCGCCACACCCTCCCCGACTCTTGGACTCTTGTCCTCCGGGGAGCACAGGCCTGGCGGACAGATATTCAAAGGGACAGCAGGGCCCCAGGGCGGAAGCTGAGGCTCTCTGGGGTTCAGCACACCATGGTCTGCTCACGTCCCCTGTTCATTAGTCCACGCGTTTACTGAGCACCCACTGTGCGCCCAGTGCCTTTGGCGCAGAGGAGCACTCAGCCCTGCCCGCCCCCCCCCCAGCCCACAGTCCAGCCAGCTGGGTCCGGAGAGGGGGGTGGGGCAGGACACCTTGCTACCAGGGGGGTCGCCCTGGTATCACAGCGGTGACTTCTGCAACGACACCCACAGCTTCCCACGTTGCGCCATCTAAGTCAGCGCCAAGGTTGTTGTGGGTTTAGTGGCCACCCCCCCCCATCAACTCTGTCTTCAAGCCCCTAGTGCCCCAGGCCCTCGCACAGGCTGGTGGCCTAGGCACTGGGGGGCGGGCACCTGCCTTCTTGAGGATGCTCAGCGAATCCTCACAGAATGGTGGGAACACAGCCGACAGCGGGACTCCTGCTTGCCTTGGGCACCCCCACCCCAGGGACCCGTGGGCCCCGCCCTGGGTCTTCACAGGTCCGCTGGCTTCCAAGGGAAGAAAGAAAAGTCTCAAGAACAAGGGGCTCCCGGCAGCCCACCCTGGAGAGCAGCAGGGGGGCACAGTTCACGTGAGCAAACGGGGAGACACGTTTCCTGGTCCTTCACCTGCTGCGGTCACCCCTCGGCCTTCCGCTGCCCCGTGGCCTGGGCACCGTCTCCGCACTGGGTGTACTGGGCGCCCCCATGCTCATCCCACCCCTTCCGCACCACACACCTGGCACACGCACCAGGTGGAATGAACGCTTGGGGACGTACATCTTCCCCCCGCCCACCTGGCAAAGCAGCCACCACTGCCGGCGTGGAACCCTGGCTCGCCCAGTCCCTCTGGTGGGAGGCTTTGGACAGGGGGCGCCCAGGAGTGGGGCGGCCGGCTCCTTGGCCTGCAGAGCCCCTCCGGACATTGCTTCTGTGTGCCCAGAGCGTCCCAAGCCGAGTGGGGGAGGAGGCAGGCCCAAGAAGGGCCGGAAGGGCAGCGACCACTCGCAGCAGGTGCCTGCCCCCGGCTCAGGAGAGCTCCTGGCCCAGCCCTTCGTCCTGGCACCAGAGCTGGGCCAGGTACGCTGGCTGCCAGGGGGCAGGGACTGGCCCAGGCCTAGCGCCACTTGCACGGGGAGGGGGGGGGTTGGGGTCTTCATCCTCCCCTGCAGCCACCTGCCCCTTCTCCTCCAGCCCACACACCCTTAGGGAGCGGGGGTGAGGCAGGGCCTCTCCCTTTATTTCCTCCAGCCCAGTTTCCCTGGCCTTCAGTCTGCCCCAGGGGTGCAAACACCCGGGCTCCCGCCCGGCTGTGGGTGCTGGGCTGCTGCCTCCCTGGGAAACAGCAGTTGTCACCAAGATCTTCCTCGGGCCCCAGGGGCAGTCAGGGGGATCCGGGACAGGCCAGGACACTACCAGGGCCGCCAGAGGCTGGGGCAGCAGGGAGGCGCAGGCGGCGAGGGCGCGGGGGAGGGCGTGGGTGGGCCGCACGAGGCCGCAGTGCTCCCGCCGTCGGGGGTAGCGCCGGCCGCCCTCCGCCGCAGGTGCTCCAGCAGGCGAGCGCTCAGGGCGGGCTCCAGGACGCGGGAGGCGGGCAGCACGCGGGTCAGGCGCGCCAGGCAGGCGCGGTAGCCCTCGAGGTAGCTGTCGGAGGGCGCTGCGGGCAGAGAGGTGCATGAGGCTCAGAGAGAGGTTGGGGTGGGGCTGAGGTGAGACGGGGTGAGACGGGGTGAGGCCGGGGTGAGGCCGAGGTGAGGCGCAGGGCTGGGGCGGGGTCACTCACTGGGCGCCGCCTCGGGGCAGAAGGACGCAGGCAGCTCCCGCAGGAAGCGCACGGTCATTTCCAGGATGTCCGCCTTCTCCAGCTTCGAGTGGCTGGAGCTCTGCGACAGGCCGCCAGGGAGAGTGACAGGGAGACGGACAATCGAGACGGATCTCCGGCAGGCCGCCTGAGCGCCGAGCTCTGGCCAGGCGCTGGGCGCCGCGCGGAGCCTCCTCGCCGGTTCCCGGGGCCCGGCCGCCCCCCTCGCCCCGCGCCCCAGGGCCCCCGCCGCGGCGCCGCAGTGCCCCCCCCCCCCCCCCCGCTCACCTCCTTGCCCAGGAGCGGCAGGATGATGCCCTTGAGCTGCCGCAGGCTCTCGTTGATGCGCGCGCGGCGTTGTTTCTCCAACAGAGGCTTCAGGCTCTGCGGGCGGGCGCAGAGGCGCGGTTACGCGGGTCACAGGGGTTACTTCTCCCCCAGTCCCCGGTCTCCGGTCCCCGGTCCCCGGCTCCTACCTTACGCAGCTCCGCCGGGTCCCCCGCCCTCCGAGGTAACCCCATGCTTGACGGCCAAGCGGCGCCTATACGGGTCCAGCACGTGAGTGACCTGCTCGGGGCCCCGAGGCGGAGCGGAGACCGAAACCTGGGGTGAGGTCAGCTCCGTGCGCTGCCGGAGCACGCGTCCGTGGACAGCGCCTCACCCGCCGCCCGGCTTTAAGGAGGCGGCGTCTCTGGGCCCGCCCCGAGGAGTCAGGTCGCCTCCGGGTCCCACCTCCCGCTTCTGTTCCTGCCCGAGGGGGAGGGACAGGAGAACGGGAGTTGGGGGGGGGGGATCTGGCTCCAGCCCTTCGCGTCCCGCCTGCCGCGGGGTCGCGGGCTCGGGGCGCCCCACCCTCGGCGCCGGCGGGCAGGGGGGCACCGGCGAGACCAGGCCCGGCCTCGCTGGGGTTCCCACCACCCCACGTCCAGCACCGCCCCCTCCCCTGGTTCCGTCTAAGCCCCACCTCCGAGCCCGCCCTAGCTGCGGGCAGGCGACCCGGTGGCGGCGGGACCCGAAGCCCAGGGCTTGGGCGCTCCCACGCGGGGTTCTGCTACCGGGAGGGACTCGCCCCACCAGTCGCTCTGCGGACGGGGCGTCTGAGCAGGAAGTGGCGGGACCCGGAGAAAGGTCTCGGCTCGCTCGCGCCCTGGCCCCTGGGAAGTGGCCGAGGCCGGACGGGGCCCCGCTCGCCAGGCTGCCCGGCCGGGCTCTCAGGACTCCACGCAACCCCCGGTGGCGCTCCGGGTTGGGGATCATCTGGCTCCCCGCCCTCGGTTTGGACTGGGGAAACTGAGGCCCAGAGAAGCCCACGCGACCCAGGAGGCCTCGGGGCTCGTTTTCATTTCGGCTGGCACCAGCTCGGTTCCCACCCGCGGGGCTGGCGGAGGTCACGAGCCCAGCAGGGTGGGGCGGTCCCGGGTGCGGGCGCCCGTCCGGCTGCCGGCTTTGGCCCCAGAGGCTGCGGGCCCGCCTCCTCGCGGCGCGGCGGTTGCTGCAGCAAACTCGCTGGGCGTCCCCCGCCCATCTGTTCGGGGCCGCCCGCCCCAACCGGCTGGTGGGACAACCGCCACCCTGGCGGCCCCGACCGCCCGGTGGACCCGCAGGCGGAGGAGGGCAGACCCACCCAGCCAGGGGGCGGGGGCGGGGCGGGGCGGGGCAGCCCTGGGGCCCAGCCAAAACAGACTCTGTCCAGGGTGCTGGACCTGCCCCTGCCCCCCCTCCCCCGCAAAACGACGGCGGAGTCTCCATCCCCTCAGCTTGCCCCAAGTCCTCCTGCCCCGTGCTCCCCCCACCCCATCCCCCTCGAGGCCCCAGACCAGCGGGCGGGTCAGAACACCGACCCGGGTGAGAGGAAGCTGCACCCACTGGCACCTGTCTGTCCCGCGCAGAGCTGAGCGCCTTTTGGCTCTCGCCTCCCTTAACCCCCTGACCGTCCTCACTAGGAGAGTAAGTCGCACACCCCACTCGGCCTGCAGGGCCTGGGGTGCCTCAGCCCCTGTGCCCCTTGCACCCTGGAGCCCAGGTTCCTATGAAGCCTCAGAAAAGGACTAAGGACTCTGTGCACCACTCGCTGATGTCCCCCAGGTCACTCCAACCGCAATGGCTCCCTCCGCTCCGTGCCCACAAGCCCACCTGCACCAGCTCTACATCCTTGCTGGGGGTCCTCCACACTGGCCCCGGGGGAGAAGGGGCGGGGGTGGAAGGTTCCCCCTAGAGCACCCCCTCCGTGCCTCGGACCACCATTTGAGGACCTGGGTTGGGGGAGCACATTCCCTGTTCAGTGCCAGTTCCCCCCGCATTTTTCAGTCTCCCCTCCGCTCTCCCATTGTGTGCAGGACTCTGAGCGGGTGACACACCTTTGCTCTCCACCCAAGCATCCTGGGGGTTCGCCGGTTACCTGGAGGAAGGGGGTCCTCTATAATCTGGGGAACGTGGGGGAGTCGGCTGAGTGTGCCAGGGGGTGTGGGTTCAGGCCTTAGGGAAGCCGGGGCCACTTAGGGCACAGTGGGGACACGGTGCTCCCTGGTCCCCACCCTTGGGTGCAGGGAGACCACTGGCGGATGGCCTGAGCCCAGCAGGGGAATGAGAGAAGGCCTCCCAGGGTGGGGGTCCCCAAGCTGAGCTCTGGAGGGTGGGAGGCCGTGGAGGCGCAGTGGGCAGAGGGAATGCGTCCTTGCGGTGCGGGCTGCTGGCGAGGACCCAGCGGAACTGTGGGAGCCCAGAGAGGGCTGAGAAGGCCCAGATCTCAGCCCGGGCCTGGGCGGCGTCCTTACAGGAGTCGGAGAAGCAAGGAAGGGTGCCCCCGTGTGACTCTTACCGAGGCATCCCTCCATAACAGGGACAGGGAGGCTCAAGGGCTCTTGCTTTGCCGCATGCCACAGCAGCCGCCCATCACCTGGGCCTGGCTCCCAAAAGGACAAAGCCCCACGACAGATGGGGGTGTCCGGGGACAGGGCAGCCACCTGGGGAGTGGAGGCCATGAGTTGCGCAATGTGACATTGGCCGTGGAGGAGGCACGGGCAGGGGCGCCCAGGACAAGCCGTTTCAGCTCTGTGTCCTGCAGCACCCCTGCCACCTCAGGGTGTGCCCGCTGCCGCCGGGTGGGCTGGAGGAGGGCTGCTCCAGGGGGGCATCAGGAATACAAAGCGGGGGGGTTGCCAGGATAGGACGCCTCCCTCCCCTTGTCTGCAGACCCGAGGGGCCAGAGGTCTCATGGAGGGAGGAAGGCTGGTCTGGCCAGGGGGAAGTCACTGGACACCCACCTCAGCACACACCCCCACACTCCCACCGCCACTCTGGTGCTCAGGTGCCTTGGAGCGCCGAGGGCCATCCCACACAGCGCCACCTCGTGGCGATCCCGGGGAATGGTATCCGTGGCCGCGCAGAATCCCACCCTAGGGCTCCCACGGTTCCTGGAAACAGCTTCGCCCTACAGGTCGGCGCTGCCCTGCGCCAGCTGGCTAGGTGCTGGGTGGAATAGCCCAAGGCCAGGCCCCCGCGGGGCTCCAGCGAGAGGTGGGGGAGTGGCGGAAGGCAAGGCACAAACTGTTTCAAAGTCACAGGATGTGCCGCTGTGCTCCCACAGCCGCGCAGCCCTCGCCTCCCTGCAGCCCTTCCTGGGCTCCCAGCGAGGGCTTCTGGCCAGCAGGCAGCGAGGTTCGGCCCACGTGCGCTCCCCCCACCCCACCCCCGGAGCCTTCCTAGGCCCTCTGTGAGGGGCGCCGGCCCCACCCTCTGGTCACCGCTCCGGCGAACCTGCCCACTGCGGTCAGCCTGTGCATCCCCGCTTCTCCTTCTCTCCATTGGGAGACCCGGCCCCTCGAACTCACGGATAGCTCCCCGCACCCCCCAGAAGCAGCTCTGGGTGCTCCCTGGACCCACCCCTGTAGACCCAGAATCCTTCTCTCCCCCCCTCCCCGCTGGAGGCTCTGAGAGCAGCTCCCGCAGTCTGGTGGGGCTACGGAGGAGGAGGGGCGTGCCGCCGTTGCACCTGGGGCCTAGACCCGGAGCCCCTGGGCACGCAGGCCTGCTCCTGCCTTGGGGCTCTGCCCTTGCAGTCCCCCTGATCCAAGCACCCCTTTCACCACTGGAAACCCAGTCCTGGACACTTCCCAGAGGGACCTGTCGGAGTCAATTCCCTGGCCACCTGGCTCCTAGGCAGGGCCGTCCGGCCCGAGGGGCGGTGCGCAGGGCAGGCTGGGCGGGACGGAGGTGGTGCGGGGGGCGGGCCGAGGCTTAAGTCCGGTGCCGCGGGGGCCGGGGCCCAGAGCGCAGCGGAGGCGGAGCGGAGCGAGCGAGGAAGCGCGGAGCAGAGGCCCAGCCAGCAGCCGCTCCGCCTCCCAACCCGCAGGGCCCCGACGGCGGAGCCGCGGGTCTCCCGGTGTCCGAGGCCAGGCGCATGGCGCCCGGGGGAGCACGCTGAGCACGGGGCGCGGCGCCGCGGGCGGCACGATGGCCCTGGAGCAGGCGCTGCAGGCAGCGCGGCAGGGCGAGCTGGCGGCGCTGGAGTCCCTGCGCGATGCCGGCCAGCTGGGGCCCTGGCTTCGAGACCCGCTGGACGCGCTGCCCGTGCACCACGCGGCCCGCGCCGGCAAGCTGCACTGTCTGCGCTTCCTGGTGGAGGAGGCCGCCCTGCCCGCCACGGCCCGAGCGCGGAACGGCGCCACCGCGGCCCACGACGCCGCTGCCACCGGTCACCTCGCCTGCCTGCAGTGGCTGCTCTCGCAGGGCGGCTGCAGAGTGCAGGTGGGTCCTAGTCCCTCCGCGGCAGCCCAGGGGCTTTCTCCGCGGGACCGGTGCGGGCCTGGAGACCCCCACCATTCAAGAGTGGGTGGGGCTGGGCACTTCCCAACCGAACTTGCTTCGGAGCTACTTTCAGAGGGCTTGGGTGAGGTGGGCTCCTGGGTGTAGAGTAAGTACCTGGGCAGGTGCTGGGTCAAGTCCTGTCCGCTGCCCAGCCAAGTGCCCAGGCAATGGAGAACCAGAAGGGGACGGGGCTCAGCCAGACTAGCAGTTAGACTGGGCCCAGGGAACACAGCACGCAGGGAGACCTGGACGGTGCGTGGGGCACCGGGGGCCTGGCCAGGGGTTGCAAGCCCGTGTCTTCCAGGGTTAGGCCTGGAGGGGCTGGGCGGAGCCTGAGAGCCCACCCCAGCTGGACAGGGGGGTGTCCTCAAGGCTAGCTAAGGCGAGGGGAGATGGTGGTGGACCTCGGCAATGATGGTCTCCTCAGGGCCCGGAATCTTGGCCTCCCTTCCGGCCTCCCAAATCCAAGCTGTTGCACCAGCGCAGCCCGAGTCTTCCTGCCTCGAGACCCCACCCGCAGGCTGCGGCACACGGGGCCCCTCCCGAGCCTGAGCAGAAGGCCGCGCAGGCCCTGCTGTGTGATTCTCCTGCCTCAAACGGAGAGCCCACAGCACTGAGCCTGCGAGCTCGGGAGCGCTCCTGCCCCGCCCCTCCCCCCAACTTCCAGTCCTCCGTGGCCAAAGACAGCAGACCCACAAGGGCAACAAGTAAACCAGGCACCATCCGCCACCGCTGGGCCACGTGGTGGGATGCACCGGGGAGCTGCCTGGGCACGGCGGCCAGCAAAGAGCCCTCTGAGGAGTGGCCTCCACGGGGAGGCCTGGCCGGTGAGGAGGAAGTGGCAGCGGGTGGCCAGTCCGTTCCGAGCACAAGGGACAGTCAGTGCAAAGCTCCGGGGCACGCACATTCCTGTCCTGCAGAGCGAGCCGCATGCAGAGAGGCGAGCGTTGGGAGCGGGGTGCGGGCGGGGGAAGCCTCCACGCCAGGTCCTAGAGGGTCTCGGAGGCTGCCGTGGGGGACCGGGAAGATATTCTGGTCTTTGGGGAAAGCCAGTGGAGGGAGGAACCAGACCACTAAGACTAAGCAAGGCTGCTGGGCACCCTGGATGTGGGAGAGGCAGGAGCGACTGAGCTGGCTGACTGTGCCCTAAAGATGGCCAGCCCCCTGCCCCCCCTTGCCCTCAGGATGGCAAGGCCCCCCTGCCACCCTTCCTGTGAGGTGGCTTGGCCCTTTATCTCCCGGATGGCTCTGTTATCAAAGTTCTTGGCACACGGCCCATGCCCACTCTTTTGGGAGGTGGCGTGCCTCCCTGATCCCGGTGTCCAGCCTTGGCCGGAAGCCTCCCTCGCCGCCTCAGAGGAGGTGGACGAGCCGGTGGCCTTGTGCCCAGCTTATCAGCTCTCCCACCCTGGAGCCCCAGCAGGCTTGGGTGTTGGAGGTGGAAGTGTGTGTGTGTGGGGGGGGGATGACCTGGATCCTGGCCCCGCTCAGCCCGGAGAGATAAGCAGATTTAGGGGGTGGGCCCCAGCCCTTGAGGCCTCTGGGGCCCACGTGACTGTTGGAGATTCAGGGACAGGCCAGAGGCCAGAGGCCTGGGGGTCCTCTTCTCATTGCCACCCCCACCCAGAGGCCGGAGCCAGCAGGACCCCTGGAGCTTCGGACCCCCCAGTCCCTGAGGCCAGAGGAATTGAGGGCCTTCCTCAAGAGCTTGACTCAGGGCATCCTTCACCATTGTCCCCTCTGGGTACTCAGGGCATCCTTCACCATTGTCCCCTCTGGGTGACCTCTAGCCAGCCCTGTCCCCTGGGCTCAGGGGACAGGCTGAGCCAGACTCCTGGCCCTGCCCGGGCATCCCAGCACACAGAGGGGGTCTCAGAATCGTCCTCAGCTGCCCGGGCTGCTCACTGCCGACCCCCCACACTGTACCCTGCACACCCTGCTTCCTTCCCGGCTGCCGCTGGCCCGCCGCCGCCGGCCCCGCAGCCTCCACGCCTTACCAGCCGTGCCCTGGGCCCCGTTCCCTCCACCCCCTTCCCCTTCACTTTCCGCACAGGAGCCTCGGCCACACCTGTCCCCACAGTGCCCTCTTCGGGCACGTCCTTCCCGATTCTAGTAAACCGTGCCCGCCTCTCACCACTGCCCACGCCCAGCTCCCTGCTCACTTCCATCATCCCACGGGCTTGGAGCCAGGAGCTCGGGCCCACCCTCCCAAACTGGCCGGCCGGCCTCTGAGTCCAGACCCCTGGGTTCCCGGTGCATGTCCTCCTCACCCAGGTCATGTAAGCAGCCCCCTCCAGCCCCTCCCATGGCAGACGCACACACCTGGGTGTCCACAACAGCACATTGGACCCTTGTGGGCCCAGACCGTCACCCCACTCCCTCTGGGGTACCTGGGAGGGGGTCTCGCCTAAGCACCTCCCAGGGGGCTGCTTCTAGCCCACACCCGCCACCACTGGCTGACTGCCGAGGCCCTGCTTACTGCCCCAGAGGGCACGGACTCGGGGCAAGAAGGCAGTCTGTTTCCCCGGCGTGGGGGGGTGGGACAGTGCTCTGCAGGAAGACTGGGTTGTCGGAGGTACGCCAATCTGGAGACCCCTCCCCGTGGGCACCTGGGGATGGGTGGAGGAAGGGAGAAAGGTGTGGGTGCAGAGGGCGCCCCAGTGGTCCTGACACCAACCCGGTATGGCCCCAGCAGCGCCCCCTTGCTGGTCCGGCCGCTCTGGCTCCATCGTGCAGGCATTCCCTAAGCACCCACCCGGGTGACAGGGGAGGGTGCTGGCAGGACGCCGGAGCTCCTGCTGGGACGAGCAGGATGCCACAGCCCGAGCGCCCGCTTCCAGCCAGCACGTCACAGTGGTGAGCCGCCATCCTCTGAAAGCCCACCGTGGACGGCTTGGCGATGCCACTCGTGAGCTGAAGTTCCTGGACAGGGCTGCCCCCACGCGGGTTCCGGTCCTGCGCCAGAGACGGGGGCAGGGCTGGCCTCGAGGACTAACGGGCTCTCCTTCCACAGGACAAAGACAATTCTGGTGCCACAGTCCTGCATCTGGCTGCCCGCTTCGGCCACCCCGAGGTGGTGGACTGGCTGCTGCGTCGCGGCGGTGCGGACCCCACCGCAGCCACAGACACGGGAGCCCTGCCTGTCCACTACGCCGCCGCCAAAGGAGACTTCCCCTCCCTGAGGCTTCTCATCGGGCACCACCCTGAGTAAGGACACCCCTCCCCCCGGGGCCGCTGGGTGGGGCTGGCCAGGGCTCCGGGGGTGCTTGACGTTTGCCATGCCCCTCCAGCATGCCTGGCGAGTGACCACTCCCGGGGCCACAGGGCCGGGCCGGACACTGCTCTTACCCAAGCTGAGATTTCTCCCCTCCTGCCAGGCTGCCCACGGTCACGTGCCCCACAGCCCTGCAGGCAGACGGCCCCCAGCACGCAGCTGCCCCTGGGAGGCTGGGCGCCCAGGCCGAAATCCCTTGCTCCCCACCATGGTGCGCATCAGCCTGCCCCGGGGGCTCCCTCTAGCTCTGGCCCGAGCTCCTTTGCAAGGCGGCTCTGAATGGGGTGCAGCAATGAGAGCCTCTCCGAGACCCCTGGTGATTGAGGAAGGGGACAGAGAAGGAGCGTGGCAATCGGGCAGCTGTGGAGGGACACCACTCAGACCCCCACCCCTTCTGGCCCTCCAGCCCTCTGGCCAGGCCGTCCACAGAGCAGCAGGTCATTTCCTGTGGCCGCCCAGCCCATTCCCACCACCAAGGCGGTGGGGGTCCCAAACCCCCGGGGGCCTGAGCAGCTGGGCTGAGAGAGCGGCTGAGCAGTGGGTGGGGGTCTCCTCGGGGTGGGCTCGGGCCTGTGCAATAAGGGAGCTCAGTGCACAGCAGGGGACTCGGGGGTCCTGGGGAAGGAAGGGAGCCAGGTCTGAGGTGCAGCCGGGGTGACGGGAGTCCCCCGGGACCCGCCAGGTGGGGGTTCGGACCAGTGACCTTTGTCAGTACAAGTGGGTGCCTAGGACAGAAGTGGTGACAGAAGGCCCCGCCTGAGAATAGCAGCCACCAGGTGAGAGGTTCCAACCACGGGCACCTGCAGGGCCACTGGCCGCCAGGGAGCAGGCAGGAGGCCGGCCCGGCCCCGTGGCCTCCTGGCAGGGCGGCTGTGGCCAGCAGCCTGTTGGGCCCAGGCCCATGGGCGGGGAGGTAGGGCAGCCCTGAGACCCCAGGCCAGGCTGCCGTCCTCTCACTAAGCGAGGGGTTCCCTGGTTTGGGGTTCACTGGGGGACCAGCAGGCGTGCCTCCCAGACCAGGGGTTCTCCTCGCAGCCATCCCTCGAGGGGCCTTGTGGTACAACTTTCCTGTGAATTCTCTGCTTCTGGACAAGCTAGGGTTCAGGCCACGCCACAGGCGGTAGGGCTTAGGGGAGGAGGCCCTGAGACCCTCGAGGACAGGCTGCCGACCTGGCACCCTCGGCACCCCTAGGGCGCCGGGCCCTGGACTCCGACTCCGGTTAGAGCTGGAGACCAGCCCTTGTGACACCCCCACCCCCACAGAGACGATTCTGAGGCTCCTGACCCCTCCCCTTGTCAATGCTGAGGACACAGAGGTCCCAAGAGGGGAGGGGTAGACTGTGGCCACACTCTGGCACCTGCCAGCCCCCCTCTCTCACATAAAGGCTCCCCAAAGCCAGGCTGGTGGTGATGCCAGTTAAGTCTAAACCGTGTGGACCATTGGGAAGGCTCCTGACCCGCCCCCACAAGAGCTGATGAGGAGCTGGGGAGGCCTGGTGAGCAGCGGGGGAGCCCCAGGCTGACCCCAGGGGCCCCTCCTCACCTAGAAGCCTGGGGAAGGTGGCTCTGGCTGTGCCCCAGAACAGCCTCTCCGGCTTGGGGCCTTGGGGACCCCGAGCCCTCCCAGGCCCTGCCGGGTGCCGGCTGTGATTGGGCCGGGCAGACTCCGGCCAGATGGCCTGGACTGATGAGCGGCCAGCCCCCCAGAGGCCACCGTGAATCTCAGGGCGGTGGACAGAGGGCTCGGGCTCTGTTCCTGCACCAGCGGTGCGAGCATCCCCACTGATAAGGAGGCGCTTTTGTGCGGGTGCCAGACTCAGGCAGGAGGGGTGGCTGGGAATTGGGGGGCGGGGACTGCCAGTAGGGGAGGGGTGGGCCCCACCGGGCCTCCTACTTCAGGGGTGGAGACTCCTGCTCTCGGAGCCTGGGGACCCCAGGGTGGGGGCCTGGGGAGGGGGAGGCTGGGACCGCCCTGCACCACAGGGCACCGTCGGGGACCCAGGCGGCCGGGCCAGGGGCTGCAGGGCCCTGCTCTCACTCTCGGGAGCCTCTGCCCGCCGTGAAGCCTGTGAATTATTCACAAGGGCTCAGCTCTCCCTGGCGGGTGGCTGAGGGAGGAAGGGCTCCCAGCCCTGCCAGTGGGAAACTCGATCCCACCTGGGGAGGCTGCGGGTGGCCTTGGGCCATGGCGATGGCAGGCTGTGGAGCAGCAGGGGAGCCGGCAGGCTCAGGGGAGGGCCCGGATAGTGCCAGGCTGCACGTCCGGGTGTCCGTTAGGGCTTGAGATCCCGCCCACCCACCGGCCCCTCCTCCAGTACATCCATTGGGCAAATCCTCCCAGAGGCCAAGGCATTGCTACCGTGACCTTGGAGTCTGCGGCCGTGGGGGACCCTCCACTGAGGCCCCTGGAGAGAGAGGCTCCCTCTCTCCTGAGCGGGAGGCACAGAGGCTGGTGGGAGCTGGCCGGGCTGTTTCAGGCCCTGGGTGGGGAGGGCCATCCCTCCTGGCCAGTAGCGTGCGTGAGTAGCCGGCAGCCCGCAGAGCTCCTGACCACCCTGCCCAAAGGGTCCTGGGGCCTCGGGACCACCTCATGCTTACTCTGAGCTGGAGAGAAGCCCCAGGCTCTGCGAGGACCGCTGGCCCGAATCTCAAGGCTGGGGGGACGGGTTTGGGGCTCCGGGCGCTTCCTCCCCCGGGGTTCATGCCCGGCCAGTCGCAGCCAGCTGGAGAACCGGCCTGCCCAAAGATCTGTACCGACCCCCGCTCCCTGCGAGCGTCTTTTGCACCCGAGACCTCCCCAGTCCAGGACGGAGACCAGAAAGTGCCCTGGCCGGGAGTCAGGGAAAATGCAGAACAGTGCCTCCCTTCTGAGTGTCCCCTGGGAGCCGGCCCTCGGCAGTAGCGTGAGCCTGGCAGCCACCAGAGGCAGGACCTCTGCAATCAGCCCATTTCGCAGCTCAGCTCATTCAACCAACGCGCTGGGCAGTACCCTGAGGCCAGGGACACATCGGTGGGCCACACAAACGCCCCTGCCTCGTGGGGCCGACAGACGCAGGAAGGGGGTCTCGGGGAGGCCAGCCGACCTGCTGAGGCCCCATGACGGGTTCGCTGTGGGTCTCGCCGCACCCCCTCTCTGGGTCTGCCTCCTGTTCCCATCGGGTCCTGGTCCCTTGGGGCCTTTCAAGTTTGCTGAGGACCCCCTTTTCCCCTTCTTAGTGCAAAGTTTCATGGGGCCTGGCTGCTTGCAGAGCCTAGTGGGCGGGGTGCAGGCAGCCCCCCATCCTGAGCAGGAACTGAGTGGCTCACCCCCTAGAGCGGCCCCCCTTTTGAAGGTCAGAGGCTCCGCCTGCCCAGCTCGGCCCCTTCCACGCTGGACATCCGCTTCCGTCACGGCAGCAGTGGGGGGCTCGGTCATTCTCAGCTACCACCCCCCAGGTCTGCCTGGGCACTGGCGGAGGTCACCGGGGCAGCAGTGCCTGGGGAAGAGCCTGAGCTGGCCCGTCACCGTCGGGGACCCTGACCTGGGGGAGGCTCTGAGACAGGAGGGACCCGTGGAGTCGGGAGAAGCTCCTCCCATGGGGGGAACAGCCTTAGCCACCACCCGCGACTCCCGGTCCAGGCCTGACTCCCGGTCAGGTCAGGTCACGGGGGCCCTGACAGTTCCCCCCGCCCCAGCCCTCCCTCTCGTCCTGTCCAGCCACAGGCTGCCCGCCACTCACAGGGGAGCTGCTTCCTTACAGTGGCCCAGACGCCCTCCACACTCCGGTCCGCCCTCCTGGCCTCCGCTGCTGCCCCGTCACCTACTCCGCTCCTCCAGGCGGCACCCCCAGGCCTGCACGCTGGCTGCCCCCTCCACTTGGTACCCTTGCCCCCAGAACCCTCCCTCTGTCAAGTTCAAGCTTCTGCCCCGCCCGCCTCTCCACACCGCCTGCCCCTGGCTCTTGCGGACTGTAGTGTGCCCCGCAACACACACTCGCCCCCCGCCTTCCCGCCTCGTTTCCCCAGCCCCCGGGCACGGCACGGCATTCCGCCTTCCACGCGTGTCTGTGCGTCTCCGCCCTCTGCCTCTCGGACCAAGGAGAGCGAACCCCCGCCCCCTCCTCTGTGCCCGGCGCCTGACTCCACTGCCTTGCTGTCAAATGAACGCGGGGTCTGGGATCCCAGGTTTTGTGTGGCCCCGCCTTCAGCTCGGGCTGCGAGTGACCGCAGACACAACTCCCTCCGGGGCCTCCCCGGCCCCTCCGGCAAGCGGAGCTACGCTGCTCTAGCGGCCGCCGAGTGTGCAGGGGCAGCACCGGCCACCCGCCTCCGTCCCTCTGCGCTCACCCAGCGAGCAGCAACGGAGCACCCAGCCCCGTCAGCCCGGGACCTCGAGAGCCCTCTGGGCCCCGTGGAGCTGACTGGCAGGGGACGAGCAAGGACACGGAGCAGGGACCCGGGGCAGGCACATGTGCCGCGTGCCGAGAAGTTCTGGCCTATTTGCTGGCGTGCGGCGCTTTGCGGTCCGGCAGCCCCCGTGAAACCGGGCTCTCAGGGGCCCGCCGCCGCTGCCTTCTCCGCTCTGCGCGTCCTGGCATGTGGCCGGCAGCCTGGTGACGTGTCCCTAGAATGAACGAAACGGGTGCACCAGACGATTCAAGGGCGGCAGGTGCTGTCACCTGAAGTGGGGGCGCTGGGTAGGAAGTGACAGGTGCGTTCCTCGGAGGGAGGGGCAGAGAGAGCCTCTCTGAGGAGGTGAGAGCCAAGCTGAGACCCAGACGAGAAAAGGGGCCGGCCGTGCGAAGAGCCAGCGCGGTGGCCCGGCGGCAAGAACGGGTGCCGGCCAGGCCGGAGGGGGCTTACACCGGAACACGCTGAGGACCACAGGGAAGCCCGGGGCCTGGCAGAGTTGCAGGGAAGAGCAGGCCTCGTGAGATAGTCCAGGCTCGCCGATGAATTGGGCGTAAAGCCGGCTGTTCTAGAACCTTCCTCAGTCAGGCTGCATTTCTCATGTGGGATCGTTTCAAACAAGCCGGGAGGTGTGCCTGGAGGGCACGAGAGGGAGACCCCCAAAGGCCGTGGGGCGCTCTGTCCAGTGCAGCCTTACTGCACCACAGACTATCGTCCTCTCCACCCGCCCCGGGGGCGGGAATGACGGGCGCTGGGCGCCCTGAAAATGCTGTGGGACCCGGTCTCGTCCCGTGGGTGGGTCACACCCTGTGCCCGTGGCAACGGGAACAAGGAGCTGGCGCCGATCCCGGACAGAGACTTCCAGCAGCCCCTCCCCACTCTCTGCCCCTTCCCTGCGCCGGAGGGAGGCCTGCTTAGTGGTTACTGTGTGTTCTTGTCACCTTTCCCCCGAGGGGAAGAACACAGTCAAATCTGCGATCACTCCTAGGGAACCTCAGCCGTGTGAGGGGCAGCGAGGGAAGGGGGGGTCGAGGGAGAACTGCGGGGGGTGACCCGGGTCACGGGAAGGGCCAGGGGCCGGGCCAGTGCGTAGATGGACGAGTGGGCGGAGGTGGGGGCAGGGTGCGGGCTCCAGGCCCAAGCTGGGGAGATGTGGGCAGCCAGTCCAGGTGGCCTCTGACCCTGGAAAGTAGATGACCTCACCAGGGGGAGAGTGCACTCAGGAAGGAGGCCCGGGGGCACCCCGACATCTGGAGGTCAGCGGAGTAGGGGCTAAGGTCCAGCACAGGCCTGTGCGGCCCGCCCCAGGGAGCCGGGAGGAGTGGGTGTTCCAAGGGGGCGGGGCACCTGCTAGGGCGTGGCCAGGCCAGATGAGGATGTGCAAGCCTCGTCCTATCAGGGCTGGTACTGTGGGCCTGGGGGGTGGGGGGGGTAGGGCAGGGGAGGGAGTGACAGCAGCACTCTTTCCTCAAAGGAAAAACACGCAGCTTTGCAAAGCTCCCTCTTCCGTTCTGCACGAGGAACATGGGGAGGCCCGACAGCTGTTGTGCCCATTTGCCACATGTGGAAACTGAGGCTCGGGAGGGCGAAGAGCTCTCGGGGGCCCTGTGCAGTGAGCTGCAGAGTCCGGGGGGTGAGCAGAGGCCAGGGCAAGGCGCAGGGGCTGCGTCGAGCAGACCGCTTCCCCCCTAGGTGGTCACGGTGGCTGCAGCCTGATGGGCTGGACCAGGGTGGACTCCACAGGTCCCCTGATCCCCGCCCCTCTCCTGTAGGCAGGGACTCCTGCTCGGCGAGGCTGGGGCACCCGGGCCAGCAGCGCCCCGCTGCACAGAGGCACGGGGAGGAGGGGCCCTAAAAGGCAGCCTGGCACCAGGCAGAAGCTGAGGGCTTCCGGTGCGTGTCTCACGGTGGAATGTCGCCTCCACCTCCCGGGCGGCTTGGAGAGGCCAACGACAGCTTGGCGCGGCTTGAAGAGGCTCAGCCAGGTCCTCCCCACACCCGGGTCCTCCTGTGCCTCTCTCTCACTGAGTGATCTTAGCTGTCTGTGCCTCAGTTTCCCCATATGCAAGAGGAAAACGGTGGTGACACCTACCTCATCAGGTCATTTTACAAGGACAAGATGAGCATGTGTGAACCACGCTCCTCACAGGTCCTGGGGCAGAGAAATCGATAGAGGGTGCCTGCTGCCACTATTACCGACTATTATTATCATTATTACTACCACCACTATTGTCAATCCCTCCCTCCCTCATTAATGTGTTCCTTCTGTCCATCCACAGTGTTATTACACGAGGGCACCCACGCCCCTGGCCCCCAGCTGAGGTAACAAGGACCCCCTTGCCCACCCTGGCCCAGCAGCAGACCTACCCCGTGCCCTGGGGTCTCTCAGGCTGCAGCTGTGACTCCCACATGGGGCTCGTGAGTACCGAGGCTGAGCCACCCACTGCAACAGTGCGGGGCTCGGACAGCCACGGAGCACTTCCTCCACACCGGGGGCCCCAGCTGCGGGGGCCCTGCTGCCTGCCAGCTTCTCAGGCCTTCTCAGGCTGCTGGGCACCCCTGGGTCATGGACACCTGCCAAGCGGGGACTGCAGGGAGGGGGGCAGGGCTCCTGGCAGACCTGGTGCCCCGAGCTGGTTGCGTGGCCTTGGGCACCCCCAGAGAGAGCCCAGCGGGCCCTGGGCGGTGGCCCCTCCAGCTTTCGATCCCCGGGACCCCAGCCCTCCCTGTGTGCCTTGGTTACGGGGTGAATAATTCAGGCCGCTGAGTGTCAGTCATGAAATATTGAGCGGGCCGTTACCGGGGCACCAACCTGTGAGTGTGCGTGGGTGGGGGCGAGGCTGGCACCGGGGTGTGGGGGCCGGTGGCCCTGCTCCAGCTGGTTCGTGAGGCGAGGTGTGCATGCGGGTCTCTGACGTGCGTGCTGTGTCGGCGCCACCCGCTGGCGGACACCCCTCCATCCCTGACACTGGTGGGGCATATGGGGGGCAGCCAGGCACGGTCCCTGCTCCTCCCCAGACGTGTGAGGCGCTGGGCTCAGCGTCAGCCCGGCCAGGGGCAGCTCCGAGTCTGCGGAGGGCAGCCCGGGTCAGGAGGAGGTGGAGGGCAGGGACCGGCTGCTCGGTGGGCGCTGCCAGGGGTCAAGGAAGTGGACAGGGGCCAGGGTTTGAGGGACAGGGAGAAGTCAGCTGGGAGGCTGGTGGGAGGGGATTGAGAGGGAGGGGCCACGCCCCGTTGGGGGTGAGCAGAGGGGGGTGAGTGGACAGACGGAAGAGCCGTGAGCAGCCTGGTGCCTGTGTTAGTGGCTGGCAATTGGACGCGGGAGGGAGGGAGGGCGTGGAAGGTTGGGTGGGGCAGGTGATCGATGAAGTGAGGGGGTACATGGGTGACGTCGTAGGAAGAATTGCACTACCTGGGGCACAGAGGCTGATCCCGCACAGTGGGGCCCAGCCGCTCCCCAGAGTTTGGAATCGCGGGGGAGGTTGATGGGCAACTCTGGACCGAGATTGTGGCTCCACCCAGTGTCCGGCTCTGGTAACTGCACCCTAGGCCGTGCTATCCACTTGCAAGTCACAGCAACTGAGGCTCAGCCAGTGGCGGGGTCAGCTTCCCTGGTCCCCAGCAGCCCTTCCCCTCGAGGGGCCGGCGCCCTGCTCCCCAGGGAGGGCACCCCTGTGGGAGCTGGGGAACGGGGACGAGGGACGTGCCAGGTGCAAGCCAGGCCCCAGGGAGGCCCCAAGGAGCCAAGAGATGGAATGCCCTCTCTCCGCTCCCTGTGGGCCTACTGCGCGCACGCCAGGCACTGCATCCCACCAGCAAACGTGCACTCACGTGGCACTCACCAGCTGTGTGGTCTCGGGCAAGTCACGGCCTCTGAGCCCCAACTGCCCCTTTGCAAAAGGGACCTAAGTTAGGGCGCCCGGCGGGAACCTGCCTGTTCCCGTCACAACCCAGCACACACCGCGTGCCCGCAGCGAGGGGCAGCCCTCAGCAGGTAGGGTTTCGGGTGAACAGCACCCAGGATACCCGGCTGGACTGTGATTTCAGGTGAACAACAAATCATGTTTTAGTGCAAGTATGCCTTATGCAGTATTGGGGATATACTTGTATTTTAGAAATGATGCGTTGTTTGTCTGATATTCACACTTAAGTGGGCATTCTGTGTTTTATCCGGCAACCTCACCACTCTGCCCCCTGGGGACTCAGACCTCTGCGGGAGGCAGGGGCCAAAATCACTTATGCTCAGCCAGGCATTGAAAGGTGGTCCGTGGGCCCAGGGCAATGTGGGTCGCACAGGTAAGGCAGGCCTGCTCTGCCCAGGGGCGCCTGGGTAAGCCCCATGGAGGCGGCATCTGGACTGAGTATCAAAGAGGGAGGAGGGAAGGGAGGGTGTCCTGGGGGGAGGGAGGGGATGACCCAAGGCAGAGAGAGCAGAGGGTAGGTATGGGTCCATGTGGCTGAAAAGGTAGGGGAGGCTGGGTCACCGTGTCCTTGGAGACCTTGGCAGAAGGGTGGGCTACTCACTGAGGGGGGCGACAAGCTCAGCCAGATGTGCATTATAGAAGGCAGGCTGCTGGGAGAGGGGGAGCAGGGCGCAAGCCGGAGGGGCCCCCTGCGGGAGGCCAGCCCAGGCCTGAGTGCAGGAGGAGTCGGGACAGTCGGTCCTAGGGACTCAGCCCTCTCCGCCCCACCCACCGCGCCAGCCCTCCAGAACCCCCCTGAGGGGGGCGGGGTTCCGAAGAAGGCTTTGGAGAGGGCGGGCGCTGAGAGCCTCTGCGGGTGCTTCCCGTTCGCAGGGGAGTGAATGCCCGAATCAAGAACGGTGCCACGCCCTTGTACCTGGCGTGCCAGGAGGGCCACCTGGAGGTGACGCAGTACCTGGTGCAGGAGTGCGGCGCGGACCCGCACCTGAGCGCCCACGACGGCATGACTCCGTTGCATGCTGCGGCACAGATGGGTCACAGTTCGGTCATCGTGTGGCTGGTAAGCTCGAGGACACCGCGAGGCGGAGCCCGGGAGGAGGCGGGGCCTGCGTCGGGACGGGGGCGGGGCCAGGAGGGCCCGGTGCCCAGCCCAGCCCCCTTTCCCCGCCCCCTCCCGCCCAGGTGAGCTGCACCGACGTGAGCTTGTCGGAGCGGGACAAGGACGGCGCCACGGCCATGCACTTTGCGGCGAGCCGCGGCCACGCCAAAGTGCTCAGCTGGCTCCTGCTGCACGGCGGCGAGATCTCGGCCGACCTGTGGGGCGGGACCCCACTGCACGACGCCGCCGAGAACGGGGAGCTGGAGGTGACGGCGAAGCCGGGGCGGGGCGGGGCCGGGAGGGGAGGGTCTTGGGCAGGAGGGCGGGCGCACTCTCCCGGCGCCGGCTTCTCCGCACCGCGCTACCCAGGCGCGGGGGTCCGGGCCCGCGGCGGGGGTCCTCACCGCGTGGCCCTGCAGTGCTGCCAGATCCTGGTAGTGAACGGCGCGGAGCTGGACGTCCGCGACCGCGATGGATACACAGCCGCCGACCTCTCAGATTACAACGGCCACAGCCACTGCACCCGCTACCTGCGCACGGTGGAGAACCTGGTATGACCTGGGCGCTGCTCCCCGTTATCTCATCCCCGCCCCACCCTCCCCTTCCCCCAGAGGTAGGTTCGGTTACCCCTTCCAGCACCAGGCCGCGGTGCAGCTACGTGATCACACAGAGAGGAAGGGCCCTAGGCCGTGACTCCAGGAGACTTCTAAGCCCAGACCACTGACCGCGGAGGGGTGGGGGGCGGAGGCACCAAGGTCCAGAGAAGGAGGCCCAGGGTCATGCTGATGTGCTCGGGGGCTGGGAGAAATCACAAGACACATCCCCACGGGAGCGGCACCGGCCGTTCGGCTGGCCGCAGCCCACACGTACAGTTCGATTAATTCTCGCCACCGCCCTCCCAGGCAGGTAGGGTTAGTGTCCCCATTTCAGGGTGAACGGAGACTCGGGGGGACCCGAGGCCCACAGCTAGGACGTGGGGGAGCCCACTGGCCTGGCCTGGGGCCACCTCTCTTCACCACGACCCCATCTGTTCACTTACGCTGAACTATTGGGTAGCAAGAACCCTGTGTTATTCTTTTTAAATTCTTTTATTACGGTTACACAGCCGTGGCATGACCCGCTGGGACTTGGGGGGCTTCAATCCAGGGCTCTGTGTCATCGGGTGCGAGGCCCGCTTTGGGACAGGTGGGAGGGAAGGGGGCTGGCCTCACAGGTGCCACCAGAAGGACACTGGCCAGCTCCGAGGGGAAGCCTGGCCAGGAGGGGCCGCAGGATGAGGCCCGCAGAGGAGCAGGTGGGAGGCCCCTTGCCCCGGGGACTGCCTGCCCCCCGTGTGTGAGCACGGGGGACACTCTGGGTCTGGGGACTCCAGCGCACAGCAAGGCCCCGGGGTCAGAGGGTGAACTGGACCTGAGGAGGAATTTCCCCCCGACGGGGCCTCCAAGAGAGAGAGCGGTGGGTCGGCATAGAGTGAGTGAGCTCCCCGTCACCAGGGTGTGCAAGCAGGGGCCAACAGTGGGAGGGGCCTTTCTGCGCCAGAGGTGAATTCTTCCATCTGGGAGAGTCTGAGGGTCTGTTAGGTTCTGTTGTGGGGGCCGGGGCGGTACGGAGCCCGGTCCCCTCCCGATGGCAGCTGCCGGCACTCGGCGGCACGCGCCAGTCCCTGACACCTGACCCCGAGTGCGCCCTGCCTCGTGCTTTGGGGTGTAATCTCAGTTAATCTGCACAGTAAATGAATACTAATGGTGGCTACGTATGGCATTCCCTGGCCACCGTGCCTGCACCTCGCTCACTTTTAAAATCATGTTTGCAGCCTGACGGGGCGGGCGGTACTGTATCCCATTACGGTACGGAACTCAGCTCCAGAAAAGAAAAGTGGCTTCCCCAAGGTCAAGTAGCTAGCAAGTGGGGGGTGAGGGGGTGGGGGGGGGGATTTGAAGTCAGCATCCCTGGCTGCAGAGCCCCGCCCCCAACCCCCAACCTCTGTTTCCCGTGGGGTCAGGCCAGGCACCCGAGGTGCCCGTGGCTGAGGGCCAAGGAAAGGGCATCGTCGGCTGCCCCTCCCCCACCTCCGCTGCTGTGGGTCCCCTAGGCTCCTGGCGGCAGGGCTGCCTGCCCCCCCCCCAAGTGTGTGAGGCGTGGGGGTGCTGGCCCCCTCACCGAGGCGGGCCCGGTGGTGATGACAACAGATCCAGGCACAGAGGACACTGGCCCAGAAAGAGCAAACAGCCCCGCAGGGCCCCTAATTACAGGCCAATGAGCGTGGCCGCCGAGCCGTTACCTGGTGCCAGGCCTGCCTCCCTCTCCCGGGGGGCCTGTGACACTTCTCAGGCAGGGAGGGGGCATGGGGCAGGGAGAAGCAGGCCCGGGCAGGAGCGGCGAGCACAAAGGCTTGCCGGCAGCAGGGCCGGCATGGGCAACGTAAGCAGGGCCCCCACCCCAGCCCGCTCCCGTGCCAGGGAGGGTGGGGGGGGCAGGTCTGTGGGCAGGGGCGCCGGCAGTGGCGGGGGATGGCTGGCTTGGAGGTCTCAGCTCTGATGCCCACCTAGCTCCGTGGGGCCACCCCAGGCCCTGCTGCTTCCCCGAGGGCCCCTTCGGGAGACAGGCACTGGGCTGCTGTTGGGACGTGCCTAGTGGGGCCAGGGGAGACAGGGGTCGCCGGCCAGGTAGTGAATCAGTCCTTCCTGCAAGCTGTGGGGGCCGTGCACCCCTCCCCGCCCCCAGCTGCAGTCAGTATTCTCACCAGCTGAAGAGCCTGAGCCCCCTCCCCACACATACACTGGAGCCCTGGCCCCCTGCCCAGCCGCTGCCACGGGCTTCCCGCCTGGGGGTCCAGCCCGGGGCCTCCTCTCCCGTCTGTCTCTCAACCCTCCTGAGCAGGGCGGGGCCAGAAGTGTTTTCCCGGGAACCCACGGTCCTGCTGCGGGGGGGCTGGGCTTGACTCGTAGCCTAGGGAGAGCCTCAAAGACCCACTCGCGATAGAGAAGAAGCCCAGAAAGGGCCGTGGCTGAGCCGAGGTCACACAGCGAGGCGTGGCCGAGCAGGACCCTGGCCCAGAGCGGGCTGGGCTCTGGGGCTGGTGGTCCTCACGGCCGCCCCTGCTTCCGCTCAGAGCGTGGAGCACCGCGTGCTGTCCAGGGACCCGTCCGCCGAGCTGGAGACCAAGCAGCCCGACTCGGGCATGTCCTCGCCCAACACCACCATGTCAGTGCAGCCCCTGAACTTCGACCTCAGCTCGCCCGCCAGCACCCTCTCCAACTACGACTCCTGCTCCTCCAGCCAGTCCAGTGTCAAGGGCCGGCGGCCGCCCCGAGGTGAGTGGGCCGGGGGGAGGGGGAGGAGGGAGAGCAGGCCGGAGCCAGACCCCTGGGCGCCGAGGGCCAGCCCCGGCCCGCTCTGCCCACAGCTGGTGCTGGAGGCTGCCCGGGTCACCAGGAGAGGACACCAGTTCTGATGAGAGGCAAGTGGGTCGTGCTTGCGTGACCCCATCACAACACACATGTATGTACATCCATCCACACAGTCTCTCCCTGACAAGACCCACATGCACCCCACACAAGACATATCCTTATTCACACACACACTGTTCCCCAGACCGTACACCCTCAAGAGTGCACACTTGTGCATGTGTGCACACAGCCTCCAGATGACAATGCACAACCGCACATACAGAGCTGTGCAGACACACGCACGCACACGCCCGCACTGCCCGCAGGCACACACTCTCCATTCTATACCCTCCGTGGGGTCGCACCCCCCCCACGTCCTAATGCAGACACTTTCACAAACAGAGAGAAGCGTGTGCACTCACGCACAAACATGCACAGTGCGCAAACGCTCAAGCCAAAGCCGGACGCACACACTGACCACGCCCTGAGCGTAGGTGTCTGTCCACTTGCCATGCCGGCTTCATGCCACCAGGTGGTGGTGGCCTGCGGAGACAGGGCGTGGCCATCCGTATTCCTGCCACCTGCCCTGCCCGGTCTGCTCTGAAAAGCAGGCCCTCCGCCCTCCAGGTGGCCCTGCTCTGAAGGCACACCCTGGAGCCCGAAGTCCCCCGGTGCCTCCCCTCCACCCCGGAGCCTGTGGTCTCTCCCCAGCAGGTGCAGGGCTGGGGGCGGGCAGGGCCACGACGAGGGTGGGGCCGCGCTGGGCTGCACCCCTCGCTCCGCCTCCCCGCTTGGCAAGTTGCTTATGGGCAGCCGAGGGTCTTGGTCCTGGGGGACGGCCCCTCTGCCGACGCGCACAGCCAGCAGCCCCTCCCTCCCCCAGGGCCCCCCAGCACCAGAGCTGCAGACATACAGAGCTACATGGACATGCTGAGCCCGGAGCTGGGCCTGGCCCAGGGCAAGATGGAGAAAACCACGGCGCCCCCCCCACCGCCCAGCTTCCCTCCGCCACCCCCTCCCCCGGGCACCCAGCTGCCCCCGCCCCCACCGGGCTACCCCGCGCCCAAGCCCCCCGTAGGGCTGCCAGCGGCTGACATCTACATGCAGACCAAGAGCAAACTCCGCCACGTGGAGACCCAGGCCTTCGGAAAGGAGGTAGTGAGCCTTCCCCTGCCTTCCCGCCTCCAGCGCCAGGCCCGGGCTGGCGGGCGCAGCGGAGGCCGAGGACCGCCGGGCTCGTGGGCACGGGGTGGGGGTCCCTGGACCAATGGCCTGATCGAGAGTCCACATTCCTGGTCGGCCCCGTTGGGGGCTCGGGGCTGGGCACTGGGCACAGGGAGATGGGCAGGACAAAGCGACCACCCTCTGGGGAGCTGGGGGCAGGGGAGGGTTTGGAACCTGTACCCAGAATGTACCCAGACAGTCATGCCTTTCAAGGGGCTGGGTCCCCATCGCCTCTCTTGCTCGGAGTGGCAGGATGGTTGTGGAGTCTGCAGAGAACGCGTCCTCGGGGTGGGAGATTCGGCCGGCACGGCTGTGGAGGAGCAGGCCAGGGGGTGGGGGGCAGGGAGGGTGCGGTGCAGGACTGGGCAGTCCATCAAGGCTGGGGGGCTGGTCAAGAGGAGGCCGACTTCCGGTTTGGGGCTTGAGGGCCCGCGCAGGTGGAGGGGGGAGGCTGAGGTGGGAGTACTGCGGTGGGGGAGGGGAGGAGTCCAGGCCAGAAGGGCCTCTGGGACCCCTCAGAGGCTCCAGCGTGGGGCGGGTGGGACAGGGGGCTGGTCTGGACAGCCCTGAGAGTCCTGGGCAGGGAGGCCCAGAGGGGGCGCTGGGGTGCTGGCCAAGGGGACAGTGAAAAGCTGTTCTGAGAGGTGGCGGCTGGGGGTGGGGGGCAGCCTGAGCCCTCAGGTGGTTGAGTGTGGGGTGGAGACCCCTGAGGGTCCTGTGGGGGCCCTGACCATGTAGCTCTCTCTCAAGTCCAAGGCAAGCCGTTCCAGGGCCAAGCTCAGTAATCAACTCCCACAGGTGACCCAGGTCACAGGGCCACTGGGCGGGGGAGGAGAGGGAGGGACAGAGCCTCCACAGTGACTCTACCCACCCCCTTTCACCCCACCTCCAACTAAGCTCTCAGCCAGGTTCCCCTTTCATCTCCAGAAGGTGGGGGCCCTGGAGAGGCCTGCAGGGGGCAGAGAGCTTTCCCGACTGGGCTCGTGAGCCCTGCCCGAAGCCACAGGACAGGTGGCCCACCCAGGCCCCCTCCCTTCCCCCGAGCCAGAGCGCCAGGACTTCGGTCTCCGTTCCCCTCCCGTGTGCGTGCGTGCGTGCCGGGCCGCAGGCTCCGGGCAGCTCCACAAAGGGCCCTTTGTGCGCCCGCAGCGCCCCCAGCCCCCTGGCCTGGAAGCCCGACCACGGCCGGAGCAGGGTCGTGGTGTGTGCGCCTCGGGGCTGCAGGGGGCGCCGCGGGGGTGGGCCGGCCCCGAAAACAAATCCCGCGGTGTCCCGTTTCCTGCAACGTGAGCTGGGTCGGGTGGGGCGCGGAGGGTCCGGGGCCACCGCAGGGACGAGCGGGCTGGGAGGTGGATCGGGGCACAGCCCCCGCCCGTGGACTCGGCCTTTGGCCCCGCGGCTTCCTGTCCTCCCCGAGCAGGGCTTAGCGGGGGGCAGCCACGACGGGGCGGGCGGGTAGCTGTCACCCGAGCCGCCTTGCCGCCCCTGAAACCCGAGGCTTGGGCGAGGGTGTCGGTGTCGCTTACGCGGATGGCGATGGTTTCCAGATGCGGCCGCGGAAGGGCGGGGGCGTGACCCGGGACCCAGGGAGGCCAAATCGGGGAGGGGGTTCACTGCCCGCGGTCAGGCCGGCGCTTGCGTCTGGGAGGATGGAGGGACGGAGCCGGGGAAGGAAGGCCCGGCGCGCGGCCGCACCTGGCGCAGGGAGAGAGGCGCAGGGGCACATCTGGCGCGCCCGGCAGGCGGGCGCGGGGCCGCGGCCGGGTGTGGCGCAGCCGTCGCATCCCCGCGGCCCGGGATTGGCGGGCGCGGGTGATGTCAGGCCGTCAGAGCTCCTAGGCGCCCGGAGGCGCGGGCGGGCACGGGCTGGGCTGTAACCCGAGAGGAAGGATCAGGTAGCTCAGGTGTCGGGTCCATGCCGCCCCCGCCGCCAGGTGCACAGCGGGGGCCACCGGCACCGGCACAGGTAGGAGCAGTCCCAGCCCCGGGCTGGGCGGCCGGGGGCCCTGGGCAAGCAGCACACGGGCTGTCGAGAGGGCTCCCTCGGGGCCGCGACCTGGCGGACGGGCGGGTCGGTGTGGCCGCGGGGACCGGGCTGCGGCTGAGGCTCTAGCGAGGGCCAAGCTGGGAGCTGCTCCTTCCCGGCTCCCCCTGGCGTCTGGGCTGGGCCACCCCGCCCCTGGACCCGCCCCTTCCAGCCTCAGCTGGGGGCCCCTGCCCAGAACCCCTCCCTGTGGGGCCAGCGAGCCCGCTCGTCCATCCAGGCCCCGTGACCCCCGCCCCATCCCGGCTCTGAGGACAGCAGGTGTCTAGGAACTCGGCCGGCGGCACCCCTCGGCAGCCGCAGAGCCAGGGGTGGGGCGGCGCGGGAGGCACCAGGGACCAGGGCCTGCGGCCCACTCCCCGCCGTCTCTCCGCAGCCGAGCGCCGGCGACGGCCACGACGGGCTGCGCAGGCAGGACTCCGGCCGCAAGCCCCGCGCCTTCAGCAAGCAGCCCAGCACGGGGGACTACTACCGCCAGCTGGGCCGCTGTCCCCGGGAGCCGCCGGCCGCTCGCCCGGGCATGGCGCACAGCGAGGAGGTGCGTGCCCGCCAGCCCGCACCCGCCGGCCGCCGCGCCCCCGGCCCCGCGCCCCGCCGCTCACTCGCTGGCCCCTCCGCCCCCCCGCAGGCGGCGCTGATCCCCGGGAGTCACGTGCACAACGGCTGCGCCGCGGACCCCAAGGCGTCCAGGGAGCTGCCGCCCCCGCCGCCGCCGCCGCCGCCGCCCCTGCCGGAGGGCCTGAGCTCGCCTCCCCCCGCCCCGCCGCTGCCCCTCGAGGGCGCGGGCCCCGGCTGCGGGCAGCGCCGCTCTTCCTCGTCCACCGGCAGTGAGTAGGGGCGCGTGCGCGCGGGCGAGGGAGGCGGCTCTGGCCCCGGAGCCACAGCCCCAGGGCGCCCTGCAGTCCCTCCCCAGGGAGGACCTGACCCTCAAGTACGCCCCCCCGGGAGCAGGACGGCGCTGTTTGACCTGGGGCACATCCCCTTTCCTCTCTGCGCCGCCTCCAGCCGGTGGGGCAGGCCTCCCCCCGGGTCTGGGGGCAGCTGCCCCTGGTGGTGAGCCAGGACTAGGGCGAGGCTCTGAGAAGCAGAAGCAGCTTCCAGGAGGCAGGGAGCTGGCCGACCTCCTCCCTGCCGGGCGTCCGCCCCGGGTCTCCATCCCCTCCCTCCACCCCCTTCCTTGTCCTCCGGAACTGGCGCCCGCCCTGAGCCCTTCTCAGACGCTCCAGGGCCTCTTGCCAGCCGCGTCTTCCCCAGGCCAGCTGGGGCCAGCGACCCACCATGCCTGTCCCTCCTGGTGACTCCCCTGGGCATCCCTCTTTAAGAGTTAGACTGGCGACCAGGACCCCCAAGCTGCTTGAATATGTACTATGGGGCAGTGCCCCGTGCACCCGGGCTTCTGGAGGGCCCTGGAGGTAGCCCCACCCCAGTCTGGCAGGGAGTGCCCTTCTCACCCAGCCACTCAGTGCCGGGACCCTGCTTAGGGGCACCGCCCAAAGCCTCATCTTCCAGACGAGGGGTGCAAAGGCACCGGAGGGTCCGGGGGAGCGCCAGCCTCTGCAGACCAGAGCCCCTGACCACCCGTCTGCCGCCAGCTGGGCCTGCAGAATGGCCCCCAGCGCTGGGCTCAGCTTCTCCCTTCTGTAGCCTGGAGCAGGGATGAAGCCTGGGACGGAAGGAAAACAGACTCTGGGCTTCTCAGACACCCCTTCTCGGCAGAGCCCGGACTGGGTGCCCTAGCCCAACCCACTGTCGAGGTGGAGGCTCTCGCTAGGCGGACCGGGGCCAGGGCAGCCCTGTCCAGCCCCCGGGGGCACCAGCTGGGCTGGGACCTGAGCAGACCATCCCTGGGGAACCCCCGATCGGCCCGAGCCACGGTCAGACGGGTCCCGTCACCCCTCCTCTGCACACCCCCGTCCCCTCCTCCTGTCGTCCCGGACCCTCTCTCACTGTCCCTGCTCTCCTGGCCTCAACCCGGGGCCCTCCCTCTCCTAACTCCGCTGTCACTTCTCTCCTCTCGGTCCCTAGAAGTGAGAGTCCTGAGGCACAGGAAGAGTGAGTAGCTGCGTGCGTGGCTCCTGGCTGAGGCGCGAGGGTGGGGGACACGGCACACTCAGGATCGGGCGAGGCTGAACGGGCAAGGGACTTGAGGAAAAGGCAGGGCCGGGGGCAGGGGCCTGGCGAGGAGTCCTCCGTGCCACAGTCGGGGCCTCTGCCCCACCCTGCCCTCTTACCCCACCCCACACCCACGCATGTGAATTCTTGGCCTGGCTGATGCTGCTGGCCGGCTACCTTCCCCTTTTCCTCCTCCTGCCACTGTGCACTGGTGTCCCCAGCCCAGGGCACCCAGGAGCTGGTGGCCAGTCCCCTCACCCACCCCTGACCATCCTAGGGCTCTGCAGACAGCCCTCCCCAAACCTCAGTCCCCCCTGCCAGCCTCGCTGGTCAATGCAAACTCCCCTGTGGGCATTTGCATGCTGCCCGCCAGGTCCTTCTTCCGGGGTGCCCCCGCTCCACATCCTTAGTAAGGGCTCCACTTTCCTGGCCCCGCCCCCCCCGCCGCAGCTGAGCAGCGCTTTGCCATAAGTGTGCTCCTGGCTTGCAACAAGTGTCTGTGCGCGTCTGTCTGGGGGCTCTGGGGGGGCGGGGGCTGGCCGGCTGGTGGTATCCAGGGCCCCTAGCCTGTATAGCCACAGAGGCTCAGGCGACTCGGTCCAAGGGTCACTGGGCTTTGCTGATGCAGACAGAGGGCCAGAGAGAGACTCCACCCTGCCCAGCCGAGCCAGGGCACCCGGGACAAAGGTCGGGGGCCGGCCCCCAGTGGTGTATTGGAGCTGGGCAGTGAGTGTGCTGAGCAGGGGCACTCATTAGAGCCCCTGGGACCAGCCCAGGAGCCATCATGAACTCCCAGGGGCCCCCTGGCGGGGGCCCCATGACCTGTGAGTAGGGCTGGGAGAATGGCGGGGTTGCACGACTTCCGACTTCCAGCGGGGGTCCCAACGCTGGGGCCTCCAAGATCTGAGCCACCTGCCAGGCTTGGGATCTGGACTGCTGCCGGGTGCCAAGGGGAAGGCTCCGAGCCTGCCCTGACTTGGAGAGGGGGAGCAGAGGCACAGGTGGGGGCTGCAGGGGATACCACCCCACCCCTTGCCAGCGCCTCCTCCCCCGCCTTCACATAGGCACCAAGTCTTTCAACATGATGGCCCCGACGGGTGACAACTCGGAGCTTCTGGCTGAGATCAAGGCTGGCAAGAGTCTGAAGCCCACACCGCAGAGCAAGGGTCTGACCACGGTGTTCTCCGGCAGCGGTCAGCCGGCCTCCCAGGTAGGCGGTCCGAAGGCGCCCCTGCCCCGGCTCCCCGGGCCCCTGCCCGCGCTCAGCCCAGCCCCTTCTCCCTGTAGCCCGACTCGCCGCTGCCGCCAGCGTCGCCGGCACCCTCTCGGGCCCGCAGCCCCACCCCGCCGGCCGTGGGGCCCCAGCCCCTGCTCAACGGCAGCCTGGCACCCGCGCCGCCCTCCACCCCAGCGCCGGGGGTGCAGCTCGACGTGGAAGCGCTCATCCCCACGCACGACGAGCAGGGCCGGCCCATCCCGGAGTGGAAGCGCCAGGTGATGGTCCGCAAGATGCAGCTGAAGATGCAAGAGGAGGAGGAGCAGAGGCGGAAGGTGGGCGGCGCGGCGCTTCCCAGAGGGCCCTGGGGGTCTGCGCCTGGGCTCCCGCCCCCTCCCAACAGCCCAGCCTGCGACAGCCCTCTGACCTCAGGCAACCCCCACTACCTTCCGGGAAGGCAGGGCTGGTCAACCTCCCTCTCCTGGGACTCCCCACCCCTCCCCTACCTGCAGCCTGGGATCTTGTGCAAATGCCTGTTCTGGCTCCGGAGCGCTGGTGGGGCTGAGATTCTGCAACAAGCCTCACGTTGGTCCAGGGGCCACAATCTGAGTAGCCAAGAGGCTTTTGGTCGTAGTGAGACAGGCTTGGGCTCTGTTCCTGCGTTGCCACTTCCCAGCCGCTGATAGAGTCTCATCCAGCCTCAGTTTCCTCATCCGTCAGATGGGCGGATCATCACTGGCGGGCAGGGTGGTTTGTCACTTGTCCATGCAACAAATGTTCCCCGGGCACTGTGTGTGTGCCACAGACTGTTGTAGCCTCTTGGGAATTCATGGACTATGTCAGGGTCTGCCCTTAAGGGGGCTGCAGGAGGGGGCTGCAGGGCCAGCCAACAAGCAAACACAGTGCCCTAGCAGAGTGGTGCGTGCCCCCAAATAACTGGGCTCTTACAAAATGGCCCGTGCTGTGGTGGGGCATGCAGGGCACTGGGGCAGCCCACCACCCCCGCTGGGCTGGGGGTGGTGCTGGGGAAGGAGAAAGTGAGGTCTGAGGTAGACCTGGAAGGTGAGCAAGACGTGAATGGGGGGGACTGGGGCACAGAGCCAGCAGGCAGGGGAGGGGGGGCGGTCTGGGAGTCGGGGCGTGGCTCAGTGACTGCACTATGGAAGGAAAGGGGTAGAGCTGGGGAGGCAGAGGGGAGTCAGGTCACCACCGCCTGGCCTTGAAGAAAATGGACTTTCTCCCGGAGCAGTGAGAAGCTGGGAGGGAGGTTAAGCTGGGGAGCGGCATCATCCGATTTGTACGTGGTGGGGATCGTGGTGGGTCAGGACGCACTGGGAGGGCTGTGGGGAGGTGGGGACAGCGCCCCCACCCCGGGCTGGAAAAACCGGGAACTGAATAAAGGTGCAGCCTTGAGATGAAGAAGAGCGAGGGGGGAATGAGGCGGCAAGGAGGGCCTGGCAAGTCTAGCTCTATAAACCGTATTACTAGGTGTGAGACAGGGTGTGAATGGGAATGGAAGCCACGCCTCTTTTAAGAGTCTGCCCTTGGGGACTAAAACGCTGACGTCGTGGATAGTGAGGGCTTGGGCCACAGGGGAGCATTAAAGGGGGTCTTCAGTCTGGGATGGGGAGAGGCCTCGCTGGGATGTGGCCTCAAAGTCGCGGACCTTGGAGGCGGCGGGAGGGCCGCGGTGCGTCACAGCTTCAATGCCTTTTGCATGTTCTTCGGTGGTGTAATGAGCAACCAAGCCAGGTTGGAGCCCCGTCGGCCTGCCCCGCCTCTGCAACAGCGCCCAACGACCGACTGTGTCCCCGCCAGCGACCAAAGTGGACACTGCCCAGCGCCCGGAGCGGCGGCCTGGGCTGAAGCCTCGTCCCAGCGTAATCGCCCGCCCGCCCGCCAGGCGCGGCTCGTCCCAGCAAACCCAGCCCCGCGGAGCCATTACACCACCTGGGACATGCAAAGGGCGCCCCCCGGCGGCCGTCGCGGGAGCCGGGCCAGAGGGAGACCCGCCTCCCTCCCCTCTCTTGTCTTCCCCGCCTTAGCTGACATCCGCCAGCTCGTGCTGCTACCCCCGCGAGGGCTGGAGGTATTCCCGCGAATACAACGGCATTCTCGGGCCCTTCGGAGAGCTCATGACCGAGGCCGACATCCTCCGCATCGAGCAGCAAATCGAGAACCTGCAGGTGTTGCACAAGGCGCAAAAGCTGGAGGCGCGCCTGAAGCAGCTGGAGCTGGAGCTGGAGCAACTGCTTCCCATCTCGGCCGCTCTGTCGGCGCCGCGCTTCACGGTTGACCCGCGCCGCATGCACGGCCGCGCCGCTAGCCTGCCCGCCTGGTGCAGCAAGATCTCCGCGCTGCTCAAGAGCATGGCCACGCTGCTGGCCGCCCTGGGCGGCCGGCCCGCGCACCTGGCGGATCTGCTGGCCGCCGACACGGGCCTGCCGCTGGCGCCGCTGCCCGACGCTCCCTGGCGGCCTGGCCCGCTCTGCCTGGGACGCTCACACTCGCTCAGCTGGTGCCGCGAGGCCGTGGCGCGCGAGATCCTCGAGTGCGGAGTGTCGGTAAAGCACCTGCGCGCCACCTACGAGCTGCTCGCTCAGGGCTCCGCGCCCCCGCGCAGCCCGCGCCGCAAATACTCGCTGTCGCCCGGCGCCCCAGGCCGGGAACCCATTCTCGAAGAGGACTACATGGTAGGCGGCCCCGGCGAGCCGAGCGCCGCAGCCACTACCAACAGCCTGCCGCCCGCGCAGGAGCCCCAGGCCTACCTGGATGCGCCCGAGGTGCCAGGCCGCCAGGCGGCGCTGCCTGAGCCCGAGCAGCTGGCCCGCAGGCCGCCGCTCCCCACGGAGCTGCGCGGCGTCCAGGACTACATCGACATGCGCAAGGAACGCATCGTCTACCTCTTCCTGGAGCACTGGCGCAAGTGGACCTTCCATGGCCGCGGGCGCCAAGCCCAGGCGCGCCTGCGCAGACTGCTACCGCGCGTGGTGGCGGCCGGCGCCGACCCGGTCCCTGAGGCCCTGGAGGCCGCCGAGCTCCCGCAGCCGCCGACGGGGGACGGCCCCGACAAGCGGCTGCTGCGCCTTCTGAGGCAGCGGCAGGTGGTGGGCAAGCTGCTGGGCCACTGGCGGAGCCTGCTGCGGCAAGTGCCCGCGCGCCAGCCCTGCGGCCCGGGCCTGGCGCACGGCCTGTACTGGCCCGAGCACTTCCTGCCGCCCCTGGACGGCGGCGCGCCCCCGAGCTACGACAGCCTCACGCTGGACCTCTTCATGCTGGGCTACTTCCAGCTGCTTGAGATGGGCCTGAGCCGCGAGGAGCGCAAGTTCCGCCATCTGCTTTGCTACGAGATGTTCGACCGGCTGGGGAGCCACCCGTGGGAGCGCATCCGCCAGTTCCACCGCGTGGTGCTCGAGGAGGTGGAGGCCGGCCGGCGTGGCTGGAGCGACGGCTTTGAGGACATCAAGCATCAGTTCTTTGGAGACAGCCCGGAGACTAAGCCGGCTTGGGAGGAAGAGGTTGAGAAGGAGCAGGAAGAGGATGAGGAGCTGGAAGAGGGCGAGAAGGAGCAGGAAGAGGCTGAGAAGGAGCAGGAAGAGGAGAAAGGAGACAAGGAGGAGGAGAGGGAGCCCGCCCAAGAGGCTGTGCCAGCTCAGAGGGAAGACTGGCCAGAGGGCCACCCCGAGGTCCCGGGCCCTGCACCGCAGCCCCCATCCCCACCGCCGCCAGCGGCGCCTCCCCCGACCCCGTCGGACCCCCCTGGTTCTGAAGCCCCCGCCGAGGACCCCCTGGAGCTGTTGTCGGGGATGGGCGAGTTCAGCGATGAGGACATCTGCCGCTACATCGACCGCAGCTTCTCCTTCTGGAAGGAGAAGGAGGCGGAGCTCTTTGACATCTGAGCAGCGCAGCTCAGAATCTACCCGCACGCGTCTCCACTCGGGTCTGGACGCCGGGCTGACGTGCTCCGGAGGCCACAGGCGGTCGGGAAGAGCCCCGGAAGGGGGCCTCGGAGACCCCGGAATGCCCAGGACCGGGCTGCCTCTGCCCCTGAGGTCCCGCCATGGCCGGGTGTGGGGAGTTGGCCAGGATAGGCCTCGCTTGGCCCGGGGCGGGCCAGGCGTTCCCTCTGGCCCTGCCGCCTGGCTGGCTCCGCGTGGAGCCAGGAGGAAGAAGCAGCCCCTCTGAGTGAGGGACCTCGTGTCCCCCTTGGGGCTGTGTGGCGCTCGCTCGCTCGCGCTCTCTCTCTCTCTGGAGTTCACAGCCACCTCTTTGGTTGAGGGCACAGGAGCCACGTGTGCAGTGTTCCGTGTGACGTGTTCTCTGTAACATGCAAGTAATAAAACACTTTGCTCTCAGCCGCCTGTGTTGGATGCCCCCTACCACAGTGGTGGAGCTGGTGTCTGCTCCTTGTGGGAATAGGACAGGAGTGGGCCGGGAGGTCCTTCGCGGCGGAGGCGGGGCCAGCCTGAGCCTCTCAGAGCTGGCGGGGTCTGTGGCAGCCCAAGTACAGGTCTGTCCAAAGATGGCGGGTCACAGGCCTGGGGCCATCTGTCCACCTGCTTCCGTGGGGACTCTCATCTCCGCTCTCCTCCCCCATGCAGCTCTGACCGATCCGGCGCCGCCTCTAGGACACAGGCCTGAGTTACAGGGGCAGAGGGGACAAGCACCCTCCTGGGGGTTGTGGCCAGCCGCCTCCGCCCATTCGCCCTATAGCGGGGCGTCAAAAGGGTCCTTCCTGCGGCCCCATCTGTGTCCTGTCGTCCCCGGCTCCTGCGGGTCCCTGGGTCGGGATGCACCCCCCCTGCGGCCCCCCAGCCCGGGCTGGCCCTGAAGCCCTGTGCTTCTGTTTCAGGAGGAGGAGGAGGAGGCCCGGCTGGCCAGCATGCCAGCCTGGAGGCGGGACCTCCTGCGGAAGAAGCTGGAAGAGGAGAGGTGAGTTGGGGGTCCGAAAGATGTGGGGCCTGGCAGGGTGTCTCGGTCACGTCCCTGAGGTGGTGGCACTAACTGATGTCTCTCTTTCCTTCCAGGGAGCAGAAGCGGTGAGTTCGGGGCTGGGCCCCACCCGTCCCCCCACCCCACACCCAGTCACCTGCCGGTCCTCTCGCGCCTTTGCCCAGCCCCATCTCCAGCGCATCCCCTTGTCCCTCGGCCCCGTGGCACAACCCTCCTGCTCCCAACAATGCCGCCGCCCTTGCCCTGGGAGCTTAGCCCCTGTCCCCCGGATCTGCCTCTAACCAGGCACCGACCGTGCCCCCAGTCTCCCAGCCCCCGTCTCTCACGAACCCAGACTTTCTGCTCTGCAGTTAACCCACTGTCACTGTCCGTAACCGTGACCGGCTTCCCTCAGGCTCAGTGGCCGCCCCCAGGAATCTAGCCCAGGGCCGCTTGACAGCAATGCAGTGTGAGCCGCATGTACAGTGTTAACCTTCACAGTAGCCCAGGGGCAAAAATTATCTCGGTGAGCTCGATTTTCATTGTGTATTTTATACAGCCCAGCACATCAGAATTCAATGATATATTCCAGTAATTGTAACTCTGAAGTTCTACATTTCAACAGATAATCATAAAAAATTATTAGAGATCTTTCACACACTTTTTAACTCTGAGTCTTGATGATGCCATGTGCGTCTCATGCCTGTAACACATCTCAGTTCTAAAATTTATTTTTTTAAGATTTTATTTATTTATTTTTAGAGAGGGAAGGGAGGGAGAAAGAGAGAGAAAGAAAGAGAAAAACATCAATGTGCGGTTGCTGGGGGCGGTGGCCTGCAACCCAGGCCTGTGCCCTGACTGGGAATCGAACCAACAACCTTTAGTTCGCAGGCCAGTGCTCTCAGCCCACTGAGCCACACCAGCCAGGGCTCAGTCCTGAAATTTCTGCTGCTCAGCAGTGGCACATGCTCACCAGCTACCTTGTCAGTAGGGCTGATCTAGCCCCCACGTTTGAACAATTTATCCCTAATTACCCAGGCCCTGTCTCCCAATCACATGATCCCCAGGCCCCAATAACTCAGGTCCCAGCCCCCCAAATCCCGTCCCCTGCCCTCACAACACCCCCTCCTCACCCTCTGCCACACTGTGACCCAGCCCCTGTCCCCAGTCACCCAGCACTTCTGCCCCTGGCATCCGCTGCCCTGCCTACCATGCACTAGGCCCTCTGTCCTCAGCAATCCGGGCCCTGCCCTCAGTAACCCAGTCCTGGCCACCCGTGAGCCGTCACGGTGCCTAGCCCACCCTCCGCCCTTGACCGCAGTCCCGCCCCCACCCCGTGTCTAGTAAAGAGGAGGAGCGGCAGAAGCAGGAGGAGATGCAGCGCGAAAAAGAGCAATCAGAGAAGCTGCGAACGCTGGGCTACGACGAGACCAAGCTGGCGCCGTGGCAGCGACAGATCATCTTGAAGAAAGGGGACATCGCTAAGTACTAGATGCTGCTTTCCTGCCCGCTTCCGCGCGAGCTGGGGGGAGGGGGAGGCAGCCGCCGCCCTCCCCTCCGGTGCTGTAACCCCTCCCTGACCCCCCACTCGGGCCCTCGCATCCCCAGCGCTGGACCACGCTGGAGCGCGCCCACCGCCGCAGCCGCTGTAGTCACTCCCCCAAAAGTGCCCAAGTCGTTGACGCAAAAGATGCTGCTTATTTGCATGCCTATTTACATATGTTTGCATGTTCGTTGAATGTCAACGTGTGCAGAGCTCTTCCCAGCCCCGTAGGTGGTGACTTTGTTTTCCCGGGGGACGTGCACCCGGCTGCAGTCCCCTCCCCCGCACCCCGGAACCGCGTCGCGGGCGCATCCGCTGGCGCATCCTGGGCGGAGGCAGGCTCCGGCACTCGGAGAAGGGGTTTTCCTCCCTCCCTGACCTAGATAGGCGCCCAGCCCGCATTTCCCATCCCCGCGGAGGGTTTCCTCTCAGTCATTTGTTTACCAGAAACGGTGAAAGCTGCCCGTCAGGACGGAGTTGCAGCTCCCGGGGCCCCACCTTCCTCCGGTGAGGAAGCCGGTGCGCTGCCCCGGCCCGGCCCAACTCCTCGGACCCTTTCACGGCCGTGGTAGAGTCGATGGAGGATGAGGGGCCCCGAACCTGTCTCCGACTGCTGCCTCCCAGGTCCCCGCGCCCCCGCGCCCCCCCCCCCCGCCGCCGTCTCGCATCCCCATTAAAGCTCTCTCAGACGCCTGGGGCTCCCTCCCGTTCTTTCGCGCCAGCCCTAGCCGCGACTTGTCTCCCCCTCCCTCTCGGGGTAACTGCCACAGTTAAGCGGGAGGGGCAGGTTTGGGCGTAGGGCCACTCTGGTCCCCACCCTGGGTCTCAGATCCTGGGTGGCAAGACTTCCGGCCCTTTCGATGCTCCCCGGGAAGCCAAGCGTGGGCCACTTAGTACCCCAGCCCCGTGGGAACACCAAGCAGCAGGGGGGTTTCATATATTTAATACCACGGCCTCGGCCAGACTCAGGCTGAGAAACAGCTGAGCGATCTCTTGACCCTCCCCTGTCCATCCATGCCATCCATGTTCATTGGTGTTTCTTTGCCTTAACCGGAACCCAGGGGGGCGCTGCGGGGTGAGGCCGGCTGGCGCTGCTACGCAGGGCTGTGCCAGAGGCATACATAATAAGTGACATAAAATGTCTACATGCATAAGTAACGGTACTTAAGGCTTCGCCAAGGGCCACCAGAGCCCCCGGTTGGCAGGTGGTCCCCGCGTCACGGGCTGAGCTGCAGGCGGCTGCGCAGGTCCTCAGCGCAGCCGTCTAGCCCCATGCGTTCCAGGGCCGCGTAGATGGCGCCCAGGCCCGCGGGCTGCTGCTGGCGCCAGCGCTTCAGCATCTCGTACTGCTGGTCGCGGAAGCGGCCCACTTCCACCTCCACGGCCTCGATCTCGGCCTCGCGCAGTCCCAGCGTGCGCACGAACTCCTTCCAGCGCCGGGCGGGCACAGCGTCCATCACGTCGTAGAGCTGCGGGCCCAGCTGGAGCATGGTGGCCGCCGAGCCTGCAGGGGGCGCTGGGGAGCTCTGCGGCGGCGGCGGCGGCGGCGGTGGTGGTGGCGGGCCTGGGGACGGACCATAGAGCCAGTGGGAATGCGGTCTGCGGCCACGGCCACGGCCACGGGGCAGGGAGAGCCACCGAGGTAGTTAACCAGTGGCCGGGGAGTGGGCAAGGGGCGCCTCAGGAAACCACAGCTTGTCATTTCGGACTTCACCTTGGTGTCAAGGCCTCAGGCCACTGAAGTCCCTTACCAAGAGCTCTGCTGGGCAGCTGGTCCCAGGGCCACGGCAGCTCTGGGCAGAGGGCTTCCTGGGTGTGGAGCGGGCCAGGGGTCCAGCTGTGGCCTTCCAACTGGATGGAGCACACCTTCTCACTGCCGCTGGGTGGCGCCAGAAGGGCGTGGGCTCTGTCTGAGGGTGAGAGGTGGGTGGCCTGGAAGCCGAGAGAGCCCCTAGGTCAGCCCTGCCTCCCTAGTGAGGCCACTCTGGCCAGAGTCGTGGCCAGCAACCCCCCCTCCCCGCCAGTGCCGCCTCCCCTGGGTGGGCCACACTCGCTCACTTGGCCCCGTGGAAGAGCTATGCCCTCTGCCTAGAGTGCCCTGCCCCTGCCCTGGCCGCGGGGGCCCTCGCCCCACTCAGCGGTTAGCCTCTGTTCGCCTGTGGGCCCCGAGGACAGAGTGCCGCCTGAGGACAGGCACTGGGCCGCTCCCCTGTGCTAATAACGTGGACCGGCCCTCTTAGGTGGACTCCATACCAGCCGCCGCGCCGTGCACCGGGGACCGAGGGTTACGATAAGGCCCACCTCTCAGCTCCAGAAGGCAGAGGCCTGGGTGCTTGCTCACCATCTTCCAGAACATTCCTGAGATTCTTACCTGCAGGGGGGTCAGGGCCTCCATCCCAGCTCCGTCTGCTGAGAGAGACAAGAGAGTCGAGCCAGCACCCCCAGGCAGGGCTCCTGGGCCTGGGTGCCGGTCCAGCTTCTCTGTTCCTCTGCACCCCCCGCCCCCCGTCCCCAGGACTCACTCCCTCAGTCTCCCCCTGTGCGTCAGGGCCGAGTCTGGGCTAGCCACCCCGACCCGACGCTCCTAGGAGTGTGTGTGTGTGTGTGTGTGCACGCATGCACGCGCTTACCGGGAACCATCGGCTTGCAGGGCTGGCAGCGGCGGTACGTGTACGTCAGGGTGGCACCGAGCAGGAGTGGGACCACCAGGCCTGCCAGGAGCACCTGGACCCAGGACACTGAGAGAGCAGCCGGTCGGTGGTGGGCGGTGGCCTCCCCCAACCTCCCCTTGGCCCGGCCCGGCCCTCCCACTGCGCTCCCAGCACACCACCTACTCTGCCTCCAGCCGCAGACCGCCGCACAGGGCCCAGGACAGCTCCAGGAGGCGCTCCTGCAAGGGGAGGGGTGGGGCAGGGGGTGAGGGCCTCCAACACCGGAGGGGCTCTCCGCAACTGCCCACGAATGCTCCTGAAGTGCTGCTGAAGTGTCACTTGTGTCCCCAGGAACAACATCAACAGCCACGATTTATCGGGCTTCTTCGAGACCAGACTGAGGGTCACGAGAATGCCCATTCCCTGAAGACCAGGCTTTGCCTGTTTCATGCCCTGTTGTATCCCCAGCACCCCGGACAGTTTCTGGAAATGGCAGGTGCTCTGGGGTGGACCTGCTAGCATCCCCACGTGCAGATGGGGAACCCTCCAGGGAACAGGCGGCAGCCCCTGAATCTCAGCCCAAGTTCTGGAACTATGTCAATGTAATTCCCTCTGTAGGTGACACATAGTAAGGTACAGCTGGAAGGGTCACTAAAGGGATCCTTATTGTTCTGGTGTAGGTGAACCCAGATTTCTCTTTACCTGTTTGCCTGATGTGGGGCCCACCTACGGTCCAGCCAAGCTCCCCCCTCCCTGCCCCTGGACCCCCACCCTGCTCCCAGCTCCCCCCCCCCCCCCCGCCCAGGGCAGCCAGGAAGTTACGTGGGACAGGACACACAGCTGTTGCCATGTTCGTAGAAGCCAGGCAGGCAGGTCCCACATTTTGTGCTGGAACCTGCAGTCCAAGAGACGGTGTGGGTCAGCGGGGAGAGAGGGCAGCCGGGAGGGTGGGGGTCACATGCCCGCCTTGGGGGTACTCACAGGGCACCCACGGGTGGCGGCGCAGGGCCCCGCAGTCCAGGCACAAGCGGCACTGGAAGAGCAGGCTGCCGACGCAGTGCGTGTCCAAGCACTCCATGACCCAGCCTGGCCTGCAGCCACAGCTGGTGCCCGCCGCCGCCGAGCAGTTCCTCAGAGCCACCTGGGAGACTGCGGGGCGGTGCAGGGAGACGGGGAGAACAGTCAGGGGCCGAGCCCCCCACGGAGAGGTGGGACAGACCCCTGGAAGGACAGAGACAGGGACGGACCGAAGAGAGGGCGACCCCAAAAGGAAGAGAAGCAGGGAATCGCTGCAGACCAGAGAGGGGCTGAAGAGCGCACAGGGACAGGGAGGTCACCAGGACGGAAGGGCTCGGAGGCCTCCCGAGGCAGGGTCAGGGTGCAGGGGCCTCCCACTCCACAGGGGCCCAGGCCAGGCACTTCCCGCAGAAACAGTGTGGCCTTGGCCCGCCCGCAGGGGACCCCCTCGCCACACTCGGCAGCCCCTCACGTTGCTCATCACAGGTCTCGCAGCGGGCACAGCTGGTCTGGTGGTGGTTCTCCCTGGCCAGGAAGGTGCCCCGGGGGCACGGGAGGCAGGTGGCATTGCCACACGGCTGTGTACAGCGGGCTGCCAGGTACTGTCCTGCGGAACCCAGGCCAGGGTCAGAGTCAAAGCCCGCCCCCAACCCCCGCCACCTGTGGCTCCCTACTGCTCTCCCAGCCCCCTCCCCCCACCCACCCCTGGCCTGCCTGCCACCCCCTCCCACCCCTCCCGCCACTCGCCTGCTGGGCAGCCCCTGCAGCAGAGCAGACCGCTCCTCTTCGGAGAGTCGTGGGCACAGCCACAGCGGGGGCCGGGGGCGCCGGCCTGGCCCCGGGAGCCCGGCGGCGGCAGCAGCAGCAGCAGGAGGGCCTGCGGGACGGGTGCTGCTGGTCCCAGGGTGGCTTCCCCATGGGGGCTCTCCCTGCCCGGTTCCCCCAACCTCAGAAACCCCAGGTTCTCCCCCGGGGCAGCCGGCTTCTCAGTTCCTTGAGCAGAAGGGGTGCCGGTGGGTTGGGGGCGGAGACTCCCTCCCTTCCTCCCATGCCCAGGCTGGCCTTTGAAGACGCAGAGGGGAGGCCTCCCCCAGACCCGTCACATGGTTCCTCTCCACGGGGGCAGAACCGGGCCCCCCACCCCCAGGGGTCCTTCGAAGGCGGGGAGGGACTCTGATCTCTCTCTGCCTGGGGCCTCCAGACCAGACCCCCTTGGGCCCCGGGAGGTTGCTTCCTCTCGGTGGAAGGGCCCGCCCCGGCTGCGCCTCTAAGTAGGTCGGAAGTGGGGAGGGGTGCTGCCCCGTCCCCAGCCCCAGCGTGTCTGGGAGCGGAGATTCACATTCACAGGGACCCCTTCCCTGCCCGCACGGACCCACCCCGGCCCAGGGGAGGGTAGGGCCACCCCCACCCCTTGGGTCCCCACTCACTGCAGCCAGCGCCGCAGCGCGACCCCGAAGCTGCCACTCCATGGCCCCAGCGCCGCCGCTCTGTGCCCTCCGAAGGCGCGGGCGGCAGGGGCTTCCCCGTTCCACCCGCCCTGCCCACCGAGGTTCCGCCTGGCGCCCAGCCTGTCGCCGCAGGGCCCGCCCCCGCCACCCCAGTGAACCTGCCTCAGAGGTGGGGTTCAGGGCAGGGCCTGAGGGGCCGTGGAAGTGCAGCCTGGGGCCCAGGGGCCCGCCCCTGGCACACGGGGACTCCCTTGGAGGTGGCCAGTGGGCGGCAGGGTGCACACAGGACGGGGCTGCCTCTGGGTCCCTACGTCTGGGTTCTCGCCCCAACCCAGAGGCCACCCACTGGGGCAATTTCCTACAGATGGGCCTTGGAGCCCGGTGGGAGGCCCGCCGCGCCCAGGTCCTGTGTGGGAATGGGACAGGGCCGTCCCCCGGAGGGGGCTTCAAGGGGAGCCCCAGCGAGCCCAGCACAGGCTGCCCACGCAGCGTGAACTCACACACCACCGGGGGCAGGGTCCCCAGAAGCACCATGTGGGGCTCTGATGGGGGACCCCATGGCTGCGGCAGGGGACAGGGTTGCTCTCAGGGTGCTGGTCTGGGGACCTCTGCCCCCTCATTCACTCTGCTCCCCAGTCTCTCCCAGGGGTGCCCTACCCCGCAGAGGGAGGGGCGGGGGCTCGGTGCACCTGTGTCCTGGGAGGGGCGGACTCCAAAAGCAAAGGACTCTTCTCAGTGGAGTATATACAAGTCTTTATAAAAGAATGAAAAGCTCAATAAATACGCAACTTTACAGAGCGCCCGACCCAAGCCTGGCGTGGCCGGCAGAACCGTCCGGGAGGGAGAGAGGGCAGCGAGGCAGGCAAATGCCCCCTTGGGGCCAGATGAGGGTGGAGGGGGGCAGCCTGGGAGACCGGCCCAGTGGATCAGAGCTGGTAACTTCGGGGAGCAGCGGACACGGAATGGAGGGTGGGGGGTGGGGGCGGGTTAGTGAAGTTGGCGGCTGTGGGGGGTGGTCCTGAGGGGCACTGCGGCGGGCCTGGGACTCCGCCAGGCCCTCCTCCGTCTCCTTCCCATCCGGCAAAGTGCAGACCAGCCCGGGCTGGGGGGGCGGCGGGGATCCGGCCCAGCACTCTGCTCCTGCCCGCACACACGGCGGCAGCAGGGACAGGGGCTGGCGCGCCCCAGAAGGCATGCTGTCTGCTGTCCTGCGGTCCGGCGGCACCCTCGGGGGCCTCCCTCTGCTCAGACCTCCCTGTGGGGGAGGGGGAGACAGTCCTTCCTTGGCTGATGCCACTCAGAGGGACTCCGGCCACCCTGTCCCCCGCCAAAGAATTCTTAGACCCCCTCACCACTGCTCTCCGAGGACACCCTCACCCTGAGGGTGGGCAGGCCTCAGGGCCCCTCCTCCACCCACATCCTTAGATGCCACCTGCTCCCAGCCACAGCAGTGCCCCGCCCTCTCCCGGGCGCGGTGACCCCCGTGCCAGCACACTGGCGCAGCTGCCCTCTGTCTCGCCCAGGCCAGGCCACTCACGAGGCAGTGAGCGTGGAGTGAAGCAGCAAGGTGGTCCTGATTCGGTAGAGCTGGGCCAGCGTCAGCTTCCGGTGCTGGGCAGAGATCCCTGGGGGGGGCTCCGGCTGGGCCCTGGGTGAGGCCCCTGAGGGCGGGTCTCTGCTCCTCTGCTCGGGCCCTCCAGGCTTCCCAGCCAGGTAGGGGGGTCCGTCCTCCATCTCCGATGGCTGGGAGCCACGGCCGGGGCTTCGGGCGCCCCCGCAGCCCCAGCTGGGCCCAGCCCCCCGCGGGGAGCCAGGAGTCCTCGTGCCCGTGGCTGCGGTAGCCAAGCAGAGTTCCGACAGGCTGCGGCTGGGGGCGGGCGGCGCTCCACGGGTGGTCGCCCCTGACAGCAGGTGCAGGAGGCTGGCCTCGGATTTGGACTTGAGCAGGCGGGGCAGATGGGGCAGCAGCTGGACAGGGGTGCGGCGGCGAAGGCGGGGCGAGGGGGAGGGGGAAGGGTCTCGTGGTGACTCTGGGAGCCGCGGCGCTGGCTCCACCGCGGGGGCGGGGGTCACAAAGTCTCGCAAGGAGGTGGGGGACAGGGTGCCGTAGGCAGAGTCTATGGAGCAGGAGCGGCTGTCCCCAGGACCCAGGGGCAGCAGCTCACTGGTGGGCGTGGCCGACGAGGCTGTGGTGCTGAGAGACGTCTCGTCCGACTGGGAGCTGAAGGGGCCGTGCTCGCACTCGGGGGAGGACAGCGTGTCCCCGGGCTCCACCACCACCATGGCCAGGGTCTCCGTGGAGCCGTCCGAGGCACTGCGGGGCCGGGGTGGGGAGACCGGGGGCGGAGGGAGTGAGCACAGGCAGAGGAGACCCAGCCCCGTGCCGGCCACCGCAAAGGTCTGCCGGCCCCGTCCCCCCTGCTCAGGGGCTCGGGGACGGCAAGCATGGGGCAAATGCCCACAACAGACACCAGTTACGGCGCCTGTCCCCACCAGAGCCCTCCCTGCCGGACACAGCCTAAGAGTTCTCAGCTCAGCTCCAAGCAGCTCCTAACGCATCAGAGTTGGTGGTCAGATTGAAAATGGTTTGCCAGCCCTGGCTGGGCGCTTCAGGGCTGGGAGACAGACCGCGCCCCACCCCCGCTGGGTTCACAACGTGAAGCCATTCGGGCGAGGGGTCTGAGCTAGGCTCTGCCCCCTGTCTGTGGCCTTGGGGTCGGGAGTCCTGGGCTGGAGCTGGTGCCCTGCCCTGCCCGGCCCGCAGGGTGGTCCTGGGCAAGCATACCAGTGCTGGGAGTCCAGGCTGTTGTTGCTTTTACGCAGGATGGTGGGGGAACTGGCAGCCGAAGCGCTGCTCTCCCCGCCTTCCTCTTCCTCCTCGTCCTCTTCCTCATCCTCCTCCTGGTCGTCCTCCTCCTCTTCCAGGCTCTGTAGGCGCTGCTGGCCGCCCGGGTGCTCCTGCGCACGCAGCTGCTGCAGCTGGTTCTGCAGGTGGCGGTGGAGGGGCAGAGGGGCAGGACGGGCTGTGAGCTGCGGCCGCTGGGGCCGCCCCGCCCACCCCGCCTGCCCGCCCAGCCGGCGCCCTGCCCTCCTCACCTGGGCGTTGTAAATGGAGTCCACCCAGCCTCGGCACAGAGCCTGCCCGCTGGCCTGGAACGTGTAGGCCCCCACGGCGCTGTGGAACTCGTTCAGGTAGATGAGGAGGAAGGAGCCTGGTGAGGAGGGGTTCGGCGTCAGCCGAGGCCACGGGCCCTGCCCACCACAGCCCCCGCCCGGGAGCGGGGGCTCGGGCTCCTCACCGGGGTCCCGCAGCTCCCGGCACACGATCTTGTCCACCAGCAGTGGCGGCCTGACGACCTTGGTCCTCTCGGCCTTCTTCACGGCCTTGGTCACCAAGAGCAGGTCCGTGAAGAGGAAGCAGTACACGTCCATCTGGGCGGGGGGAGGGGGAGCGGCAGAGGCCAGGGGTCAAGGCCAGGGTCGTGGGGCCTCAGGAGGGGTCTCGGCCTGTCTGCTGCAACACCCCCTCTCCTGGGGGTGCTCAGACTCTGTCAAACACCTCCCCCGCCCTCCCGCCTGGACCCGAGAGCAAAATCAAAACGCAAGGCAACATCCTTTGCTTTCCTCAAGCTACATACTTGTGACTTATTTCAACGAAAACGAAATTGACACGAGAGATGAAGAGGGAGGTCATTTTACAATCGTGACTCGCAGGCTCTGAGTGACACAGTACCTCAAGGGTTAACATAGCTCAGGAGCGGGGGGTCTGGGCTGCCCCTGGCAGGCTCGGGGCATGTGCCTCCTGCCTCCCACCAGGAACCCACGCAGCACCACGTGGGCAAGACAGATGGCCCACGGCCTGTGACCCCATCGCTGTATTTGTACAGAGCAGACGGCAAGCAAGGCCAGAGGGCAAGGACTTGATACATTCCACACGACGAAAGGGAAAAACCTACAACCAAGAGTACCCAGCAGGCGTATCGTTCAGAACTGAAGGAGAGAGCAAGACTTTCCCGGATGCACAGAAGCTAAAGGAGCTCATCTCTGCTAAACCGGCATTACAGGAAAGTAAAACCATAGAAAGAAAAGGCCAAAACTAGCAATAAGAAAACAAAAAAAAATCTCAGGAGTAAAGGCAAGCATATAGTGAAGGTAGGAGACCAACCACTTATAAATACTGTAGAGTATGAAAACAATTAAAATGGCAATAAGTACATACTTATCAATAATTACTTTAAATGTAAACTGAGTCCTGGCTGGTGTAGCTCCGTGGATTGAGCGCGGGCTACGAACCAAAGTGTCGTCAGCTCGATTCCCCCTCACGGCACATGCCTGGGTTGCGGACCACATCGCCAGTAGGGGGCACATGAGAGGCGACCACACACTGGTATTTTGCTCCCTCTCTTCCTCCCTCCCTTCCCCTTTCTCTATAAATACATACATAAAATCTTAAAAAATAAGTAAATAAATGTAAGCTGACTAAGCGCCCCACAGAAAAACCACAGGGTGACTGAGTGGCTGAAAAAACGAGACCTGTCCACTTGCCGCCGACCCTCGACTCCAGATTGACACACGCAGACCGACAGGGACGGGAAGGGAAGGGTGTTTCATGAAAGTGGCAACAGTAGCACCCACAACAGAGAAAGCGGCTGGGGTAGCAACACTCGTATCAGACAGAACAGACTTTACTTTTTAATTATTTTTAAAAGAAAGGTTTTTGTTTTTGTGTTTTTTTAAAGATTTTATTTATTTATGTTTAGAGAGGGAAGGGAGGGAGAAAGAGAGAGAAACATCAATGTGCAGTTGCTGGGGGCCGTGGCCTGCAACCCAGGCATGTGCCCTGATTGGGAATCGAACCTGCGACGCTTTGGTTCGCAGCCCGCGCTCAATCCACTGAGCTGTGCCAGCCAGGGCCAGAACAGACTTTAAAACAAAGCCTGGAACAGCGGACAAAGAAGGACCCGGCAACCCCACTCTGGGCGCGTGTCTGAGGAAAACAAAGCGCTTGTTTAAAAGGACGCATGCACCTGTGTTCACTGCGGCGGCGTCACCCACAGGAGCCGAGATACGGAAGCCACCTAGGTGTTCCTCAGTAGAGGAGTGGATGGAAAAGAGGTGGGTATACATGTGTGTGCACGTGCATGCATTGTGTACACACACCCACTGCAGTGATTACTCAGCCACGACAAAGAATGAAACCCACCCTGGCTGCTGTGGCTCAGCGGACTGAGCACGGGCCTGTGAAGCAAAGGGTCACCGGTTCGATTCCCGGTTGGGGCACATGCCTGGGTTGCAGGCCAGGTCCCCAGTAAGGGACAAAGTGAGAGGCAACCACACGTTGATATTTCTCTCCCTCCCTATCTCCCTTCCTTCCCTTCTCTCTAAAAATAAATATATAAACTCTTAAAAAGAAGAATGAAGTCTTGCCAATTGTGACAACTTGGATGGACCTAGAGTAAGTACATCATGCTACATGAAGTAAGTTGGAGACAAATGCTGTCGCATTTCCCATATGCGTGGAATCGAAACAAACGAACAAGCAAAGCAAACAGACTCGCAGACACAGGAGACCTGACGGCGGCCCCAGAGCTGGGCGTAGGGGCAAAAGGGCAAAAGGGCGAAGGGCGAGGGCAGTAAGGGGTAGAAATGACAGTTGTGACATAAATAAGTCGCAGGCGAGTAAAGGGCAGCCCAGGAAGCACGGGCAGAAATGTCACAATTACTCGTACGGCGGGCCTTTTGTGCTGATCACTTTGTAAGGTGTACCAGTGTGAACTCTCACTATGTTACACACCTTTAATATCATGCTGCGCGTGAACTACACTCGAATGAAAAAGAGCTTCACATTCCAGAATGGGGGGGGGGAGGGTAAAATGCAGGCCAGTCATTATCTCTCATAGGACCGCAAGGCCACTAGTTCTCAAACCCCCCCCCCGCCCAGTGGCTGGGCAGCTGGGCCCCACTGACCACACCCGGGGGCGGGGGGAGCCCTGGAAGGGGTGGTCCAAACCTGCGGGGCACGAGCGAGTGGGGCAGGGGCCCCGGGTACGGGGTGACCCCCGAGTCACCTTGCTGTCCTTCCCCTCCTTCATCCTCAGGCTCCCCTCCAACAGCAGCTGACGGGTCTCCTCGGGGGAGGCCCCAGGGATGGGCCCCGTCAGGTCCAGATGCAGAAACTCCTTCAGGAGCTAGGGGCGGGTAGGGGTTGAGAATGCAGGTGCGGGCGAGGTCAGGCAGGGCTGACCTTCCATTCGGCGAGGAGTCCTCACGCGAGACTCCAGCACAGCCCCTGCCGTCCAGTCTGGCCCGCCCACCCGCCCGCCCTCCGAGCGGGGCCAGGCCGCCCACCTTGTCCACCTCGTCGTTGCTGCCCTCCACCACCTCGTACGCGTCGATGCGGCTCACCACGGCCGCCAGCCGCTGCCGCTCCTGTCGCTGTCGCATGTACGTGTTCACTTGGTGGATGAAGCGCTCCACAGAGCTGATCTGGGGCGCAGACAATGGCTGTTTCAGGCCCAGCGCCAAGGACCGGCGGAGAGCCGCAGAGGGAGCCCCGCCCGACACGCCCTGGTTACCATGGTGACGACGGCCTCCTTGGCGCGGGGCTCCTCCGTCTTCCTCAGCACTGACTTGAGCAACAGCGGGTACTTGGTGAGCCGCTGGTGCGGCTTGGCCAGCATGTCGCTCAGCTTCAGCCGCTGGCACTGCTCGTGCTTCTCGGCCCACTGCGGCGGGAGGGGCAGCGCGGGCGGGGCTCAGGACAGGCCACGCCCACTGCCGGCGCCCACGCCCCTGCAGCTGCAGCGGAGGTGGGCACCGCCGGGTCCTGCACCCCTGCCCATCAGCCCGCTCCCCCGCCCTCACCGTGACATAGGCCCGGAAGAGGTCGTTGTCACGCAGCAGGCCACGCATGTACTCCATGCAGCCCTCCTCCTCCATGCAGTACCGGATGTAGGGCTTGAAGAGGGAGCCGAACTGGCGCGGGGAGGGGGGAAGAGACGCCGGTTACTTGGCCCTCCCTGAGGGCTGGGCCCTGCTCCAAGCTCTTCCAGACTGCACTTTGGCGACCGCCCCGGCGGGTGGCACGCTTACGATCCCAGTTTTCTATACAAAGAAACCGAGCCGTGGCGAGCGTGACCACCCTCCACCAGGTAGCAAGGGCGGATGGCCAGCTGGGGTAAACCCGGGTGACCGACTCAGAACTCCTTGCCTCTGACCACTTGGGGTCACTCGGGGCCACTGGTCCAAGGGAGGTTCGGGTGTCAGGAAGATGGGATCGGCCCCCCAGCGCTGCCCCTGTGTCACCCCCGCCTGTGCCGGGCCAGGCCGTACCATCTTGAAACCTTTGAGGAAGTCCCCGGGCTGCAGCAGCGCCCGCGTGCGCCGCGCCTTCTCCAGCACCGGCGCCATCACACTGGCCCACAGACTGCGGTGCAGACGCGCGATCTCGGGGATGTTGCTGAACAGACGCTCCGCATCCACCTGGGAGCCCGAGAGGAGCGCTCGGTCCGCCCCTCGCCTACCGTACCCGTTAGCCCCGCCCCTGTACGTCCCACCCTGTCAACCCTACACCTTTCCCGCTCCCACTGCCAGGCTCTGCCCCAGAGAAGGCCTACTCCGCCCACTTGTCCTGCCCTCCTCCGGCCCCGCCCTTCCTTAAGCCCCTCCCCTACCCCCGGACCCTCCCGCCCAATGGGGCCCAGGTCCACTCCTCCTGGTACCCTCCCCGCCCCCAGGCCCAGCCGAACCTCACACAGCAGCCCCGACTCTTGCAGGTTCAGGAGGCAACACAGGAACAGCTGCGGGGGCAGGGGCGCTGCAGCTTAGACAGGGTGATCCCAGTCCTGATGCCCCACCCAGATTCTTAGGCTCCCCTCCACCCCTTAACCCTCCCAGGAGGCCCTGAGGCACCCTGGGACAGAGAGGGTTCACCCTCTGAGAAAAAGCCCAACCCTCTCGGCCCACCACGGGGTCACCCGGCCCAGGCCTCGCCTGGACCCAGGCTAGCAGCCTCGCCTGGGACCCTCCTCCACCTCTGGCCCAGCTCAGCCTCTGCGTCTCAGCTCAGAGGGTGCCCTCCCTGAACCTCGGGACCCAGGGCAGGTGCCCCCCCTCCAGGTCGAAGTCCCTACACACGCACTGCCCAGCACCTGCCCCCGGCTGTGTCCCCGTCTAGGGTGTGGGCTGCAGGCACCCGCACCCAGCAGGTGTTCGGGGACACCCGCTGAATGAGCGAGTCAAAGAATGAGGCCTGTGTTCATTCAGCTCCACCCACCAAACCTCCCGGAAGCCCCCTCCCGGGGCCCCGGCTGTGGGAACCACCTCCTGCCCAGGGTGCGGCCGCCTCTGGCTTTCCTTCCCCTTTGCGGCCGGGCACCTGATCCTTCTGCAAAGGCCCACGCTCTGCTCGGGGCACCCAGAGGAGGCCGGGGAAGCAGAAGGGGTGGCCCCGGGCCCTGCAGCCCACACTCACGTTAGTGATCACCCGCAGTTTCTTAATGTAGGAGGCCTCGGTGTGCAGGAGCTCCCACACTGCCTCCTGCTGGTGGGACTGCCTCCGGGTCAGCTTCTGCGGGAAGGGCAGGGGGTGGTCGGGAGCCCGAGTGGGCAGGCACATCGGGGGGTGGGGGTGGGGGAGGGTGAGCAACCTCGGGTGGAACGTCCTTCCGCCAGCGCAGACACGGAGGCCCCCGGGCCCTCCTCTGCCACTAAGACATCTAAATGATACTGCGGTTGCACCTGGCCTCAGTTTCCCCAGAGTGGGTCAAAGAGGACAGCAGCCTGACAGGGCTGTCCCGTGGAACATCCCGTCATTGGGTCCTCAGAAGGGCCCCACCAAGGAGGGGCATCGGGTCCCTCCTTCCCCGGGAGAGGGAGGAGGAGGAGGAGGGGTGCGGTGGCACCCACCTCATGCCCGTCAATGAGCTCCCGCCAGCTGTCCTCCAGCCACGGGCCGGCGTCATCCTCGTCCTCTTCCTCGTCCCCCTCCTCCTCCCACGAGTCGTGGTCAAAGCGCAGCCTCCGGGGCAGCCGGGGCAGCCCAAAGAGGCCGTAGGCGTGCAGCTTGCTCTCCAGCTGCTCCATCTTGTCCACCTCCTGGAAGGACACCAGGGTCAGGGGCCAGGGCCAGGGCCGGCCCACTGCCCCGACCCAGGGCCCGTGGGACCACGTACCCGGCCGCAGGTGCTGGAGCCAGGGCCGTAGCTGAAGAAGCCGCTGAAGCGGCTGGCGGCCCGGTTCTTCCAGCTGTCGCTGACGCTGCCGCCGCCACTGCTGCCGCTGGGCAGGGAGCAGCTAGACGGCGTGGGGGGCTCCTGCCCGGGGATGCTCGCCTCCCCCAGGAACTCCGACATGTTCTTGCGGCGGCGGCCAGGGGCCTAGCCCGGGAGGGGCAGTCAAGGCCAGCCCCACCCTGGCCGCCACAGCCCCATGCAGACACAAGCCCGGAGCATGTGCGGAGACAGATGGTCACACACACAAACACACACATGCTCAGACGTGCTTAGAAGCACAGCTCCAGAGTGACCCACAACACACAGCCAGTGACACGGGACACAGCATCTGCTGAGACACACACAAACACACACACGCACGCATGCTCTCTGGGCACCAGCAGACTCTCGGAGACAGACCCCACCACCCTAGATCCAGCCAGGGCCCCCAACTCTCAGAGCCAGCCCCACTTTCCAGAATGGGATATTAAAGCCCCAAGAGGGAGCAACAAGGGCCCCCACTGACTTCGAGGGGCCCCTGCTGGCCCCCAGCCCTGACACACCCGCCTCCTCACCAGGATGTCCAGGCTCTCGCGGCGGCTCTGCGGGTCCACGCGCTCCGGGGCCGGGGGCCCGGCCCCCGCTGGCCGCAGGATTGGCAGGCTCAGGGACTTGGGGTCCTTCACCCCCTGCTCCACCTTGCCCTCGTCCCCCGGCTTGGCTGGCGCAGCAGTAGGGGGCAAGGACAGGTCCTCAACATCCAGGTCCAGGGAGGGAGGGGGCCCAGCCTGCTCTCCCCCAGGGATCCAAACCAAGGCCTAGCTGCAAGGCCCCTCCCTGAAACTCCACCCCGCCCGCACTGGCCACCACCCACCACCAGCCAGGAGAGACACCTGTATGGTAATGAGCTTGCTCAAGGCCACGGCCGACGGGAACCTGAGCCCGGGGAGAAGCGCTCACCTCCGGGAGGCCCAGCCAGGGCCCAGCCACTCTCCCACCCAACCTGCTGCTCACCTTTGACCCGCAGGTAGTGGCCCCCGAACCTGTAGGCCTCGAAGGTCAGGGACAGGGGCGTGTTGGACTGGTCCAGGTAGATGTCCGCCTTGCCCAGCGCGATGCCCTTCCTTTCGAATATGGGCAGCAGCACCTCCCTGGCCCAGGAGGGGAGCTGTGTCTGTGAGGGGTCAGTCACGCAAACCCCCACCCTGGGCACAGCCCCAGCTCCACCCAACGCACACACACACACCCCCCGTGTCCTGCACGTGTGCTTACACACGCTCCTATCACACACGAGGGCAGACACTGTCACAGGCCGGTCCACACCCGGGGACCAGGCCACACAGGCAGGGCACAGAGGCCCTGTCACCTGCTCCCTCACGCCGGCGTTCACACCTCGAGGGTCTGCCCACGGGGGGTGGGGGATGGACGGACAGGCTCACAGGCTACCGCAGGGACACCACACTCCTCTCGGCAGGGGCTGGACCCGCCCGCAGCCCGCCCCCACGGTCTGCCCGCTGAGCCTACCCCAGCGACTTCTTCTTCACGGCGGGCACAATCTCCGTCTCGATGTCCACATTCAGGTCGAACTTCAGGGTGAAGCACTCCTTGCTTGGGTCCTGAGAGGACACGGGTCTCGGCTTCTGCGCCCCGTCCCCCGCCCTCCCCACCCCAGGGGGCCCCAGCGGGGGAGGGGGTGCAGGGGCTCGCCAGCCCAGCTCTGCCCCAGGCAGGCCGCCAGGGTCCCTCCTGCCTGGCTAAGGTGGGCAGTGCTGGGCTGCCGGGCAGGGTGGCCAGGCAGGGACGCACTGGGCCCGCTCCCGGTCCTGGAGCTCAGAGCAGGCGGGCCCGGCCTCGGCCGTGGGAAGGAAAGGCTGCCCAGCCCCTCTGCCAGCCCCGGCCTCCTTACATCTGTGTGTCTCCTCCTGGCTTTCTTCTTGGAGAGTTTCAGGCCTGTGCTCTTCCGGTCCCTGCAGGGAGGCCAGGGAGGTCAGGGGTTGGAGACACTCTGGTTCCCCACCGGGGTGTGTTGTGAGTGGGCCATGGCTGGCTACCCACACCTCAGTCACCCCAGGTGACCAGGGAACTCAGGAGCAGTCAGACCGGCCGGGGCCCACAAAGGGGCTGTGCGCCCTCTGGTGGCCAACACAGGGACCACACCCAGTGGTACCTGGTCAGGTGATGCCCTGGAGGGCTGGGTCAGGCTAGGTGGCCTCCTCCAGGAAGCTGGCAGCCCCAAGGACAGGGAGGGGTCTCCAGTCAGCCCTTCTGAGGCCTCTGGTGCCCGGATCCCTGATCTCGGGCCCCCTCAGGTGTCTTCTCCGCCCACCCACCCCTCACCTACCCTTTGCCGTCCATCAGGCCTTCCTCCTCCTCCTCCAAGTCCACGGCGGGGCTGGTGCGCGGGGGGCATGACCGGGTGGACACGTTCCGCGCCAGGACGGAGCCTGTGGAGTCGAGTGGGAGCGGGGTCATGCCTGTCCCCTCCCTGGGGTCCCTCTCCTCAGCCTTCCTGCCGGGCCACCTCCGGAGGGACCACTGCCTGCTGACCCTGTGCCCCCACCACCCCGGGCTACCGAGAGCCCTTTGGTTCTGTGAGGAGAGGGGCGTGGCCACTGCTTGTCATCGGTCCGCGCCCTGACAAAAAACCACACGAGGGCCCTGAGGTGACACTGCAGACGACGTCCCGCTTGCTCTCAGCCCAAGGTCACCTGCAGCCCCCCTTTGCCCCTCTGTGACCTAGGGATGGGACCCTGGCCTCCTGGATGCTGGCCGGGAGGGGCGAGGTCCGTGGCTCTTTCTGCGGGGCCTCCCCTCCCCCACCCCGTGACCATACCCCAAAGTCCCCGGGGGCCCTGGCAGAGGGGCAGTCTCCCCGTGCCTCCGACCAGCTGAGACAGGAGACAAAGGGCCGGCCAGCACCCTAGCACAGCCAGCTGGCGGCGGGCCTGGGCCAGGGCCCTGCTGGGCAGGAGGGTTTCTTGTTTCCTGCTACAAGCTCCTCTGACCTGCCCTCCCACTGCACCCCCACCCCCGCCGCCTCTGCTCCAGGCCGGAAGATCGGCCCCGAAGCCCCCTGCCCGGGGACAAGAAGAAAGGGACCTTCTCCACGCTGGCCCCCGGCCAGGGCCAGGGGCAAGGGCAGGGCAGCAGTGGGAGGTGCAGGCCGGCACCCGGGAGGGACGGGTCTGCTCCGGAGACGGGCCACAGTCCCCAGCCTTGTCTCTCGTGAGAAAACTTGCTGAACAAAAGGGCCTGAAAGTACTTGTGTTTCATTCACAGTCGACTCTTGTCCTTCCCGTGGTCCTGTCGCGGCTCCAACAGTTACCAAGACACCGAGCCCCCAGACAGGGGATCCAGAGCGACCCTGGGGACCCCAGGGGCCGGGCCGGGCCGGGCGCCCTGACCTGCGCTCACCTTGGGGGGGCAGGTCGAAGCGGACGTGTCCGTCATAGTGCATGGTGCTGTGGAACTTGCTGTCACAGGCCGCGCAGAGGTTGAGGGGCCCCCGGCGGTGCAGCTGCTGGCAGTCTGCGTGGTGGCATACCTGTGCAGCGAAGGGCAGAGGGGCGCTGGGCGGGGGGCCCGGACCACGGCAGGGCACCGCTCCGACCTCTGGCCCCCAAGGGGCTGCTGCTCCCCACTTCCCACCATCCTTCCCCCACAGGGGCTGCGTGCTCAGCGGTCCACTCAACAAGCGTTTCGTGAGCACCGTTCCGTGTCCCTTCGGAGGGGCGCAGGGAGAAGCAAAGCCCTGCCCAGCAACGCAGCGCCCAGGGGCAGACCTGCTCCTCAGAGGCAAGCGGCCGGAGGGCAGATGCCGCCAGGGCCTCTTGCTGGAGCGTGGGCAGGAAGGGCTCCCGAACCGAACCTCGGGCTGCCTCTCGGTTTGGCCCGCACACTGTTTCGACCAGAATGCCTCACCCCCCGAGGGCCACTCGGAGGCTCTGCCCTTGGTTCTGTGACCTGCCTGGCCACGGCAGAGCCAACCCTGCCCAGGCTCCTGAGTTGGGTGGGGAGGGGGCATGGAGGCGTCGGGGGCAGGCGTCTGGGTTCCCTCGCGGTGTCCATGCAGCTGCGTGGTGACGTGGTCCCCAATTTGCCTCTCACCCAGGCCCCTGCCCCCCCCCCGCCCACTGCCACACGTGACTTCCCTATTTTCTCCTCCGACCTCCCACGGCTCGCCCCGAACACTCGCCCCGAGACTCTGGTTCCTGCTCTTCGAGGGACACAGAAGCCATCCGAGGCCGAGGGTCCGTGATTCCCCACCACCACGCCTGCCCACCTGCGCCGGGCTGCGGGGGGTCTGGCCCGGCTCCAACCCAAGGCCGGCCTTCCCCCCGAGATCCGCGCCCCCGTGGCCATCCATGGTGTGGCCACAGGACCGAGCATTCGCCCTCTCCTCCATCCTCGGGCTGCCCCCCCATCCCGCACCAACCTGCCCTCTCCTCTCAGCTGTGCTCCATCCCCCTCCGCCCTCCACCGCAGGGACCCCCCAACCCCAGGACCGCGGATGGGTACCGGTCCGGGCCTGTTAGGAACCGGGCCGCACAGCAGGAGGTGAGCGTGAATGTAATGCACTTGAAATCACCCCGAAACCATCCCCTCCTTCCCTTGGGTCTGTGGAAAAACTGTCTTCCACAAAACCGGTCCCCCGTGCCAGAAGGTGGGGCGCCGCTGCTGGGCAGCTCAGCTCCCTGACCCAGGCTTCCACGCGCCCCGCCCCGCCCCCCCGCCCCCCCCCCCCGCAGTCGCTCCTCTCATCGCCCTGCTTCCCAGCTCCGCATTTTAGAATGTCTCAAACCTACAGAACGTCGCAGGCCAGCACGACACCCGCAGGCCCTCCTCCTTCACCTGCTCGTTCAGGGACTGCCACACTGGCTCTCGCGTCGCCCCGCCCCCGGCGCAGGGATCCCGGTGTCGCCCAGGAGTGCGAACGCTCTGCACGCCCCGGCGCCGCGGCCGGGGCCGCTCCCGGCACACGGTGTCCCGTCCGGGAAGAGTCCACCTCCGAGTTCCCCACGCCGTGCACATCGATGTTTTCCCCATTCAGAAGCCAGTCCATGTCCGCATGCGCATTTGGCGAGTCTGGGTATTTCTTTAAGAATAAATGCCCCGCCCTGGCTGGCGGAGCTCAGTGGATTGAGCCCGGGCTGCGAACCAAAGTGTCGCAGGTTCGATTCCCAGCCAGGGTACATGCCTGGGTGGCAGGCCATGACCCCTAGCAACCGCACATTGATATTTCTCTCTCTCTCTCTCTGTCTCCCTCCCTTCCCTCTCTAAAAATAAATAAATAACATCTTAAAAAAAAGAATAAATGCCCCTTTTTTTTTGTCTCCCGTGGCACTGAGAGTTTTGACGTGTCCAGGCCAGGGGTCTGGCAGAAAGCCCCTCCAGGTGGACTCGTCTGGAGGGCCGCGGGCACGGCAGGCGGAGCCTCTGGGCAGGGACACAGAGAGAGCTGTGTGACTTCTGTGCACCCACGACGGCAGGCCGTTTGGGGACCTTGCCGTCCTGTGCAAGGCCCCCCTTTCTCTGGGTAAACGGATGAGTCACCCGGGGGTGGCACTCTGAGCGGTCCTGTCCCCCGGCAGTCCCACACTCCGGGGCGGCAGCATTCATTCGAGACTCCTGCCCGTGCGACCGGCACCGCGACACCTGACTGGGGCATTTCCCGGCTCTCCCGGCGTCTCTCAGACCCTCTTCCTCAAGCCGGTGACCCCGCCCGGCGCACCAAACCCACTCTTCTCGGGCCCCGTGGCCTCCGGGCATCCAGGTCCACTGTCTGTCTCACAGGACCGGGCATCTGCCATCGGAGGTCTCTCTGCCCCCAGGACCCATGCTCTGTGGGTCTGCCTCTCCACTCCCGCCCTCCCCCTCCCGTGACCTGGCTGATCTCAAGACTGGGAACGCCCCCCACGTGCTGAGGGCTCCCAGACCTAACTAACTCTCCAGGCAGCACCTCAGCCAGGAGGCCAGACCGACCTCCGACCTCCGACCTCCTCCCCTAGATTCCAACGAGCATCCCAGACGCAAAACCTCCGCATGTGGACTCCCGGCTTCTCCAGGCAGCGCCAGCCAGCTCGATCAGCCCAGCGCCTTCTAGGTGCATGTTAGGGGTTGCGTGCGTCCCCCCACAAAGACAGGTCCAGTCCTAACTCCCCAAACCTCAGCACGGGACCTTGTCTGGAAACAGGGTCGTGGGAGATGTCATTGGTGAGGATGAGGTCGCACTGGGGTCCGTCATCACAGAGTATGGACCGTGGAGCAGTCCCATGACTAGTGTCCTCATACGAAGAGACAGAGACATGGAGATGGGGGGGTGGGGGAGGCCACAGGACAGCGAGGGCGGCTACGGAAGTGACAAGTGTACACGCCAAGGAGCACCGGGCCCTGGAGCAGCGGGAAGAGGCGGGGACGGGCCCTCTCCTGGAGCACCCGAAGGCCCCGAGCAGGCCCCGCGCCGCAAGCCCGGGTTCCAGCGTCTGGCCCGCAGAGCCGTGAGAATGGACTGTGGGTGCTCCACAGCCGCCCTGCTGGAGTCCGTTTGTGACGGCAGCCCCGGGAAACTCGCACATCAGGACACAAACCCATGGGTCACCTCCCACCTTTCTGTTACACCCCCGCCCAGTCAGACCCCACATTCCCCACCTTTGCTACCTGCAGGTTCGACCAGGCCGGGCCGCGTTCTCCAGGCGGCACTGGCCACCCCCCCCCACGACACACTGGATTTCAACAACCGCCCCCTAACCGGCTCCCTGTTCCCACCCTGCCCTCCAGTCTGTCCTCCATGGGGCCAGAGTGGACCCTGCTCAAAGAAGGGACACAGATGCCCACTCAGAGCCCCGCAGTGGTTTTCCCTGTCGCTCAAGCATGTGGACTCACTGGGCCCCTGTGCTGCGTCCCCTCCCCGGCTCACTCTGGCCCACCACCTGGTCGGGCACGGCCCCTCTTGGAGCCCTGGACCTGCCCGTCCCTCGGCCTGCAGTGCTTCCCCCGGAGCCGCCTGGAACGCCGGCTGCCTCCCGCCCTGGAGGCCTCCACCCCACAGCCGCCCGACTTCCGGCCCCTCCAGACTTGCAGCTCCTCCAAACCCTCCCTCTTCCTCTCGTTGGCGCCCCCCACCTTCCCACACCTGCGTGCTTCACAGGGTTGCCTCTGCACCTCGTCCGCCCTGCAAGGACCCCACGCACTGCCCTACCTGCGCTCCTGCCCACGCAACAAACACGTTCTTACTGTCAGGGCAGTGGGGGGCTGCTGGAGAGCGTTTGGCCCGGGGAGATCCCGATCAGAAATTTTCGAGACGACAGACAGGATGAGGATGGCCTGGACACTAGGGACCACACCCGACAGCAGGGAGTGGCTGGCAGGTCTGATCCACACACACACACACACGGATCATGTGGTCGCCTGTATTCCCCGGGGCTGCCCTCCGGGCTCCTGACTTCAGGAAGCAGGGACTCCGATCGCCCCTGTTTTCCGGGAGAGGACTGCAGAGCTCAGAGAGGTTGAGTAGCTTGTCGAAGGTCACACAGCCAGTGGAGCCAGGGCTGAGCCCAGCGTGTACAGCCCTAGAGAGCAGATTCCCACCACACTCACACCAGCTCTCGGGGCCCGAGGACAGGGCGCCCAGTGCGGGAGGCGGGTCTCCGGCCGGCCCCTGGGCTGCGGAGACGATAGGAAATCAGTGGTGGTTTGGCTCCGGAGTCCCTGCACGCCTCCGGCAGACAGAAAAGTGGCGGGCTGAGGGGCACACGTGCTCTCAGGGCACTGAGCCCCGGACATGACGGCCCAGATTCCCCAGGACAGCCCGAGTGCCAGGTGCCTCCCCCCCCAGCCTTCTCCAGTGGTCTTCAACGGTGTTCTCAGGCTTCACGACAGGGCTGAGGGGCTCCCTTCAACCAAAGCCGCTGGTTCTGTCTACTTCACCTAAAGAGAGTGCGTGAGCCCTGGCTGGCGTGGCTCAGTGGATTGAGCGCCAACCTGCGAATCAAAGGGTTGTGGGTTCAATTCCCAGTCAGAGCACATGCCTAGGCTTTGGGCCAGGTCCCCAGTAGGTGGCGCTGTTTCTCTCTCTCTTTCTCCTTCCCTTCCCCTCTCTAAAAAATAAAGTAAAATCTTTAAAAGAAAGCGTGAAAACTGCTGTCCTCCGTCTCAACTCTGCCTGGCCCACCTCAAGTCCCCCAGGGCACACTGACAGAGGGTCTGGCCTTGCAGCTTCTCGGACCCCCTGCCCCCAGGCAGAAGCACCCACTCCTGACAGTGAATCTGGGGACGGCCCCTGCCCTTCATCAGCCCTTCTTCCCAGCAGCCCCGCAATCGGCCGGCTCTGCAGCCCTCTCGCCCTCTGAGACCAGCCTGCCAGTCACACAGGCCCTGGCCGCACTGTGGATGGGGGTGACATGGCAGGAACCACTCCGGGTGGCAGGGGTCCTGTGGAGGACCTCTGGGACCCTTGCAGTCCAAGTCCCTGATTCTGTGCCACGACCTCATAAAAGCATCAATCCGGTGAAGAGATGGCAGATTTTACACAAAGCTTCACTCCTT